AGGAGGAGGAGGAGGAGGAGGTGGTGGTGGTGGTGGTGGTGGTGGAGGAGGAGGAGGAGGAGGAGAGGGAGGGGGAACAAAGTTACATCTTCGATGTGGATTTCTCTTGATTGGATCCTTCGCGTGAGATGCAGGAACGAGCAGAAGCAAGAACAAGAAAACAAGCGGAAGATCAAGAGCCAACAGACGTCGCCTGTCCATGGCTTCTCCTAGCAAACAAGAGTCCCGCCTCCTGTAGGAGTAATCTATCAGCATCTTTCTACTAAAAGAATCGAGATTTGTAAAATCTGTTCAGAATTTGATTCCTCGTTTTCATACCCTCTATGCTCCCCACTCACTTCCTCCTGCCTCGACCACCTTCACTGTCTCTTCTCTCTTTCCATCTCGTCAATAGCTCCAATCTCGGTCCCTTCAACGCTCTGTCCTCCCCATCGATTCTCGCCCATCCTTGTACATTTTTTGTTCCCCTGCCTATGACTCTCCTTTGAGTGTCTGCCTGAATACCCACCCCTCGAATATCAATAGCACAACATTAGCAAAGGAGGGGTGGACGGAGTACGTTCCGTGATAAAAAAAAGTCAAATTTGACAGCTCACAAGAAAGCGACATCTTTTGGGCGAGCTTCTCAAGTTGTGGGACAAGAAAACTAGAAGGAGGATGGAGGTATGGAGGATGAAGAGGATTGGTGAAGGAAGGGGGAAATGAGGAAGAACACGAGCAGTATCTGGAGGAGAATGTCCCGGAAGGGAGGGGAGTGGAAGGGAAGGAGACTGTAAGACTACCATGTGGAGCCTCATGCTGGAGTTAGAATGGTAGCTAGATTCAAACCTACCTGGCTTGCTACCTCGACTGGTTGTTGACAAGAGAAAGCTTCTGATCTTCTGCTCCTTCTTAACATGAGAGCGCCACAAGCAGCGCTGATCTCTTTGTGTATCTTCTGTGTGATAATTACTCCGTGCATTGTGGCATACGGCAAGGACAAGGTCGAGGAGGACCAGTTTCTCGACTTGGACTCCTTAGACGACAGCAAGCTGAGAGATCTTGAAAGAGAGCTTCAGAGCCTGCTGATCCAGGAGAATGAAATCCAGAATGAGTACCATGGTGATATTCCCACTGGAGGGTATACACCTAGCCCAGGGTCATCGGCGAGGGAACAGGAAATTCGAACTCTGCACGAGAAACCTTCCGCAACACGTCACGGATCAGGAACAAACGTCGGGGTTGCTGGTAAGAAGGTCAAAGTCAGCAAGTCAGCCTCGGTCGGCTCTCAATTCCCAGAGGTACGAGTGGTAGAATTCCCCAAGAAGGAATCCAACGCTTCAACGAACGCTTCTGCTAGTCAATCCTCATTCAATGGTGGGCAGAGTCTGCTGTACACTCAGGCGATTGAACTAGCTTTCAAACAACTCCTTGAACTCCTTGAAGATATTGAGTCGTACCGGACCGCACGGTTTTTCGTCAAGATCGGGTTGAAATGTTCTCATGACCTCATTTACACGGTTGTCACAAACGACTTCTCCAAAATTCAGAAATACAGACTCGAGCCGATGGCAAACATCGCGTCTTCTCTCTTGCAGACAGCGCGTATTGAGATACAGAACTTTTCAGCAGCTGAGAAAATCTCTCAACTTTATCGTGCAGTTCAACGCAGGAAGGCAGAGCTCCGTCAAAAGATCTTGCAAGGTCGTTCCATACACAATCAATCAGACGGCCCAGACCCTGAAGTAGCTGTGGCGATGCTCGCTGTATGGATGACCCTCGGCTTTGCCCTGCTGCTGTGGATGCGTTGGAGCAGCGTACAGGATCGAAAGAGGATCGCACAATTGCCGGATTTTGACTCCTTGTACCCTACTATCGGTGTTGGTTTGCAGCTCGAGCAGGATGACGACGGTCTGATCAAAGTTCGCTTCCTCGAGCCTGGCAGTCCCTCGCTGGTGTCAGGAAAGATCCGGACGGGCGACATCTTGCACAGCGTTGACGGGGTTCTGAGCAAGGGGAAAACTATCAAAGACATGGAAGATTACATCATTGGCACTCCTGGCACGAAAGTTGTGCTGGCGTTCTTGAAGAAGGTGATGCGCGTGTGATGTGTGGTGGGTCAAGATGCGTTGACAAGTCTGACAGGGAGCCTCTGAACAAAGTTTGACGGTACCCATAACCTCGATCAGGTCGTGGGTGAAACCGGGAATGGATGTTAAGCTTGTTGTTCTCAGGAGGCCCTGGATTCAACCTGGTCCTCGCCCTAGCTCCATGTCCCACCTTTCACCTCCCAAGGCATTGCGCTACTCGCAAGGGAAGTCGGCTCCTGCTCTGACAGATCGCGCCAAGTCGATGAACTTCATCGAGCAACCTGCCCAAGGCAAATCCGTGCACAAGGAGGAGAAGGAAGTCAGTGATTCCGACATCAACCGGCTTCGAAAAGTATTCCAACGCGCCGCCAGTGCTCGACCTGTGGACTGGAACTCGGTGTACAGCAGAGCGAGGGGAGAGGAGGAGGAGATGAGGGAGGAAGGAGATCTCAAGGAATGGCTGGCAAACTTTGACAAGAACTTTTGCGTCCCTGGCTCCTTGTGTGCAACCAGCATGGTCCTCAGCGCCATCCGCAAGAAGCCTGAGCTAATCATGAACAAACAATTCTTTCGGGACGTGAACGGGAACCTGATCAGGATCGAAGGAAAAGCTCTTCCCTCCCTCGAAAACTTCCAACGGGCAGCAGCCAAGTCAGGTATCACCAACGTCGACCTCCGGGAGCACAGGGCTCGGCTGGCGTACGAGCAGATTCTTCAGCTCTCGTCGGGAGAGGAGGAGCTGGCGAGCCTGATCTCGCGTATCGCCAACCAGAACCTCGGCATCGCCGTCTATGAGCGAGTCATTCGCCACGTCGAGTCGGAGGAGAATCCAGTCATCGTAATGCAGACTGAGGACCAGCACTACATTGACATCCGCCGGAACTCCAGGGATCTCGTCGTCGTTCACTTTGAAGGCATCTTCCGCCTCCTCCCTGCTGACGCCATTGAGAGCCTCGAGTCGGCTTCGGTCTTGCACGCCTCCATCAACCTCATCCTCCGAGACTCACAGGCCAACGGGTCGTTCGTCCTCCTCATTCGCCGACCTGTCAATCCTAGCCAATGCTCTCAGCCCAAGAGGACGAGGACAAGCGCAAGGGTCAAGGAACGAGCCGTCAGCCTGCAGCTCGGGAGGGTCCACGCTGTGACAAGAGGTGGCAAGGCCTCTGAGCCGCTGGTCGAGAACTGGTTGAAGAAGCATCCAACCAGCCGGGAGGGAGAGGAGGAGGGAGGTGGGGAGAGGGCAGATGATGCGCTCGGTCTGCATGGGCAGAGCTGCGCCAGCGATAGGAAGGGAACCGCTTCAAAAACATGCTCAAGAGGTAATCCTCGGCTTCTAATCTTGTCTCCTTGCCTCGTCCTGTCCACCACCTCCTCCTCGTACTTCCTCCTCCTCCTCCTCGTCCACCTCCTCCTCGTACTTCCTCCTCCTCCTCCTCGTCCACCTCCTCCTCGTACTTCCTCCTCCTCCTCCTCCTCCTCCTCCTTTCTCCTCCTCCTCAGTCCTTCTCCAACTCCTCCTCTCATCTCTTCTCGTTCTCGCTTCTCCATGCTCGTGGAGTGACATCTCTGATTCTCATCAGACTCAGGACGTCGCAAGTCCTCCAAGCAGGCAGCAACGCAGCACGTGCAGACCACCAGGTCCTCACTCCAGCCGATCGAAGAGAACGACGGATCTGAGGTGAGCCCGCATCTCCTTCTGCAGCGCTCAAGATGCTGGCAGAGGTGTGCTGGACCGGAGGGCTCGTGGGAGGACGCGTGGGAGGACGAGAGGTTTGCTCTTCCCCTGACACGTCATCAACTGAGTATGCTCCAGCTGCGCCAAGGAGACTCACGGGCACACCAACGAGGAGCACGGCGAGTCAGGTCACCTCCCCTACTGTCCATGATCTCGATGCTGACCTAGGAGGCAGACGAGCACGAGGAGGGTACAGCCGCATGGATGTGAACGACTCACTCGTGTCATCCACCTGATATGTTAGAGGTTGTGTGTCTATGTATTGTCGGTCCATATCGCTCTTAGCTCGCACACTCCCCTCGCACACTCTCAACTCTACACACGACAAGCGGCTTCTGCAGCAAGAGCCTCACATGCTGACGGCAAATCCATCTGTACAGATCAGTCAAGGGGGGCAAAAGTCACAGCAAGGTAGAGCGATGGTACGTGATGATTCTCCAACACTTTGAGGAGCATCGGGTAGTCTTCACCGAATCCCATCTCAGAGAGTTGCAAAATTTGCGTCCAAGTTTTCTTTGCGCATGGTATGTCAGGGAGAAATCGTAAAAGTTGCAAGCCACCTCGTCGATGGAATTCCTGAAGTCATCTTCGTTTTGCTTGGAGGCCTGCTGCTTGCATGGGGCCTGTTGATCATAAGCATGCGACAAGACAACCTAACAGTGCACTCACCTCCCTCTCCTCCTGCTCATCCTTCGCTTCCGCACTTCCAGAAGGATCAGGTTGCCATGTAGGAGAACCATCGACTTACCTCTGTTCCCCTTCTCCTTGTTCGTCCTGGATGCGCAGGAGTTCTTCCATCTTTCTTGCCATCTGTGTGCATCATCCATGATTCTCGTCAACATCTTCATCGTGGCGGCAGATGGCAACATCACATTCTCCTGCTCTTGTAACTGCGCTTTCTCGGCCTGCTCCATCTCATCAGCCAGTCGAGCCGCAAGTTTCTGGTCCTGCTCCAATTGTTGGAACTTTTCCTCAGCAGCAGCAACTTCTTGACTCTGTCCGGCTGCATCAGGTCGGCATGCAAGACCTGCATCATCCTCACCTCTTTCTCAGCCTGCCTCTCCTGCTCCGACACAGAAGATATCACTGAGCTCGCCATGCTCATGCTCTCTTTGTCTTGTCTTTCTTCAAGAGGATCCATCCTTCAACTTCGCCATCATACTCTACAGCATGGTCTGCGTCAAGGTCTTCTTGCACGGGCGGTGCATGCGGTGCGACTTTGCTTGTATCGCCAGATATTTCACCTTGTGCATCCTTTCACCATCGCAATTCATCCAAATCGTTCACTTACCCACGAAAACCAGCTTTCTCTGAGATTTTGACACCGAGGACAGAGATTCCTTGAGCTCTTCATCTGAGCCCAGCATGATCATATCCTCCTCCTCATCAATCCACTAGGCGGAAGGTCAATTTATCAGGATGCTGCAACCACAAACCAAGCACAAACCTTGAAACAAAACTTCGCGCCAGCCCCATACCCAAGTGCATGGCGCGTCTTCTCTTCTAGTTCCAGCATGGTGTCCGGAGGAGGACCCTCTAGCGTCGCTTCCTCCTCCCCGACCCGCACAATTATGGGCAGGGGCGTTCCGTCGTTCTCAGCCATGGCAAAAATATTCCCTCCTCCCCACTCAGACCAATACACCCAAAACTATTTTAATACTGTACGGAAATATTTGGAATGGTACTAGAATCAAAATATAATAATTTAAAACGAACAAAGAAGTCTAAATTTATTTGACATCATGAATCAAATAATTCCTCTGAGTTGAGAAATGAACAAGGCAGCTCTGGTTAAATTTTGAAGCTTGAGACCGAAATCATATCAAATATGGTCGAATTGAAGAATATAACAATTTATTTTTAAAGATGGTCTGAGATCTTGTAGGAGATCTTCAATATCCCCGTACTTCCTTTATTATTTACTTTTACGCTGGAAATCCGGGGTCAGCCGCAGGGGCCCGGCGGCCACCCTGTCCCGGGGCCAACGGCAAATCACAGTAGTGGGCCCGGCCCGCGGCCGGGCTGCCAGTGAGCCTGGACATGCCACCGGCTGTAAACGGGCCCCGGCGATCGGATAGAGCGGGGGCCGTCCGAAGTGACCGTACCGTCCGACTGAGTAAAGAGTCACGGTAATCAAACTGAGTCACCTACGGTCCGCTGACATTGATCAAAGCCTAGCCCGGCCATGATCGCCCGACCGTGCCGACAGCCTGGCAGCCCGGGTGAGCAAACTGCAAATCCATCAGTGCAAGTGACTGAGAGTGCCTGTGACTGAGATGCTACTAGTGGCTTTTAGTGAATTGACAACTCAAACTCCGCAAGTGATGACACGTGACAGGAGCCGGAATGACCTTCGATGCCTCCTGTTACTAAGAGTTTAGAGAGGCTACACAGCGTCTTTGCTGAGGGCTATCAGTACTGAAGTGCGAGGACACAGAGGCTATAACGCATGGTTTCGAAGTAAAGACAACCCCGGGTTGAAGACGAAGTCAGATGGTTGAGTGTTAGCAATTACAATCAGTCTTTTTGTGTTTTCATTCGAGCGCAGGAAAAAACTTAAATATCCTTAACCTGGAGACCTGCGAGAACATCAGCAACAGCACAAGACACGACAACAAACAACAGCAGTAGGAATACGGGAAGACAAGCAGACAAGCAGACAAGTACCTGGAGGGAGAGATTGACGGAGCTTGTCAGCCTTCTCGGAGTCCGTGACGCAGAGGGTGTAGAGGTACTTTGAGCACCTAACCTTGAATTTCGTTACTCCTGGCGCTTTCTTGATCTTGACAGCTGATTGTTCCGTCAGTACGAAATTGATGGAGGGAGGAGCAGATGCTCACAGCTGGCATCCTTACGACGAGCGGTAAGAAGAAAATCCTTGATCTCCTTGATCTGCTTGGGCTGGAAACAGTCGTCACACAAGAGTATCTTGCCGGGGAATCACATGGAACACACAACGTAACAGCGGTTCAGGAATAGATCCAACAGCAACAGAGGCAGGCAGAAAACCAACCATCATTCAATGGACAATCTTTAAGACTATCCTATTTGCTATACTCGAAATCACAAGAACGGCAACCACACACTGTGTAGTTGGAGAATGTGATGTCAAGACAAGCCAACGATTCTAATCAACATCTATATCACTGATTTTTGCTCATTACAGTATTCAATCATGGTCTAATACTTTTGCAAGAGATTTGATTGAAAGCAAAATCTTGTGTACTGTACAAATAGCATCACAAGAGTATCTCCAGTATCCATACTTCTCCACAAGATTACATCATGCCCTCTCCTCAAAGTGACCCAGGTCAATCTTCATCGTTGATCGCTAAAAATCTTCAGCTCCCTCGTCTTCTTCCTCTCATCTCTTTGCCTTCTCCTTCCTCCTTGTCCCCCTTCTCTGTGCATGCGCATACCATGGTGTCGGCGCTCGTGCTAAAAAAAAATTTCCAAGCGGTTAAAATAATAACCGTCAGGCCATGCTGGTGGACCGTTACTGTGACTGCCGTTCCAAACCTCAGGGGTAACCGTTTTAAAGTGACTAGGGTACTGAACTTTAACTTAACTTTGAGTAAATGTTGGCCGACTAGGGTTCGCTGCCATCATCCGATGCCAGCCGGATCGCGGGCCGTGCATTCCTCATTCCTTCGGCGGCGGCCACAGCCTCGACTCGTACTAATTTTTAACTTAACTTGAGTAAAGAAAACGAGTTCACAGTTCCGAGACGCATTGACTCGGACACTTGAAGCCCCGGCCAGCGCCCGGCGGCGGGCACTTCAGCCCGCCGGGTGCAGAGTCCCGGAATCCAACTGGCCCAGTGGCCGCCCCAGCAGACTCTCAGACGGTACAGGCCCGCCGATCACCGGCGGCGTGCCTCAGAGACGGAGGATAAGGGAGCAAGCGGTTTATTGGTAAGGGATATGTCTGGAATTGCAGCAACTTAGTGGACTTGCATCTTACATGGAGCCCCCAATAAACCACTCGACAAAACGGTGAACCATCGCAGAGGAGCACACTGACTGATAGATCGTTCCCCTCTTGTAAAGCTCAATGGCTTTGTGCGCCTGCCCGTTCACGATGTGCTCGTCAGAACCGTAGAGCACCTTATCCAGAATAAGTCCATGACTTGGTGGTGAGGGAATCGTAATCTCATATTCATGGCGCAATACTTTACGTATCAGAGTCTGCAAGCAAGGTCAGTTCCACAAATTAGAGTAACTGTTTCACGAAGTAGGGGAGGTCAAGAGAAATGAAAGCATGCTCACCGCCTCTTGCAGGAGCGAAGACAAATCCGTTGATTCTGGCTTGCGACACAAGGTCAAGACTGACAAACCAACCATCTTCATGATTTGTCCAGGAAAGAAATTCACCCCTTCCACACGCAGAACCAGGTGTTCGATGCCGTGAACCACCAACTTCTCCGATATGCTGAACGACTTGATTGATCCAAGTGCCAGATTAGCAAAGGCTTTGTCAGTGAACAGAGAGAAATCCCACTGTTCCTGGAACCATGGCAATCCACGCACACCACCAGTTTGAAACTGTCGTAGAATGTAGTTCAGCTGTTGCTCACGAACTGACGACATCCTGAACTGACGCAAGTATTCATAGATAGCAGCACCTCCTGAGTTCAGAATTCTTGACGGGAATACGCAGAACAATGCTGATGGAATAACGTACTCAAACGAGCAGAGGGCATGATTACCGGCATCGAATTTTGAACCACTACCCTTGGCGGCTGAAGGTCCAAAATTGTTATAATTTGAATTGCCAAACACGGTGCAATTCAGAATCCTCAAGTCCCCAGAAAGCCTTGCATTCAAGCGCTCAATGAAAGTTGCTAGACTTTCCCGAGGCTTCACAATATCCACCGTCACGCATTGACCCGAGGCATGCACTCCTGGTTCAGTGAGGCAGGCATGCGTCCATCCGATCTTCTCCAACGACGACATTGACGGATCCGGATTCAAGGCACCTGACGCGCGCAGTACCTTCAAAAGTTCACCTTCAACAGTCCGAACGGAAGGATTCTGGTGTGTGAGGCCACCCTGAAAGTCATTCCCAATGTAAGCAAGCAAAAGGCATATCTGTCGTCTCTTGCTGGGCTGAGATGAATCCACGCCCCAGTCTCCCGAAACATGTGACATGTAGTTCCCATCTATTTTTGAAATTTCAGGTGAGCCGGGTTCTGCAAAATCGACATCGAAAGAAAGCGGGGTGCGCGTACCTGAAGCTGTTGAAGCAATGCTTGCCTCGTTCTCCTCAGAATCGAAACCATTGTTATGAAACATCATATTTCCGTTACAATGATTGCTATGTACAGAATTGTCCTGCGATGAGTGCCCCTTGCCACTCCATTTCTCGAACAGCCTTGAACCAGCAGCGCCTTGTGAATTAGCATGATTTTGAGTGAATGGGACCTGAAAACTCTTGCTGTTTTCTGGCACATACTCTTGTTGCCCACCAAAGTTCCATGTATTCGCAGGAGCGCCCATATTCCCCAACGCAATAGACATAATGTCATCTCCTCCAAAACCTTCCAATGCCTGCAAAGCAACCGCCTCGACATCTATGTCAGCCGAGGAGTCCATCGCCAAGGGATTAAAGGGGATCGGCGGAGCGAAATCTGCTCTCGAACTAACAGAAAAGGGAGCTGGCTCGACTTGAGCTCTTTGAGAAACCCTTTCTGTCCGAGCTGCGGCACTCTTTTCGGATGCCGTCGCCTCTTCTGGTGCGTCTTCTTGCGAACTGCTCACGTGCATAGCAGCACTCTTAGTCACATCCACCTTGCCTGCCAAAATGGCTTGAACTCTTGCTTGCTTTTCTTGCGGAGAAAGAGAGGTATTCCGCATGATTGCAGCAATCTCTTTCCGTTTCAACTGTTCTTCATATGGCACTTCATCCTCCTTCTCCTTCGCCTTCTCCTTCTCTTGCTCAATCGCAGCCTGGCGTGCCGCAGCCTCCTGTTCTCTAGCCCTCCTCTCAGCTTCTTCTCGCTGTTTTTTCTCCTCGGCCTCCCTTTTCTTTTCCTCGGCTTCCCTCTTCTTTTCGGCAGCCTCTCGTTTCTTTTCGGCAGCCTCTTTCTTCTTCTCAGCTTCTTCTCGCTTCCGTTCAGCTTCTTCCCTCTTTCGCTTCTCCTCAGCCTCAAGTTCCAACCTTCTCTTGCGCTCAGCCTCTTCCTGCGCCAGTCTCTTTGCTTCCGCTTTTTTACGAGCAGCTTCCTCCTCCTTCTTGCGACGTTCTTCTTTCTCCTCTTCCTTCTTCTTCTTTTCTTCTTCTTCTGCTTTCTTCTTCGCTGCCTCCTCCTCAGCTCGTTTCTGTGCTTTGAGCTCTGCAGAAAAATTGGTGTCAAAGCAATAAGTGATATTCTCAGCACTTTAAATCAAAGATTTACCTTGCTGCTTTTTCTTCTTCTCAGCCTGCTTGGCTTTTTTCGCTTGAGCTTTCAGATTCTTTTCTTCTTCCTCCCGTATCAAGTCTTCTTGCAGTTGTAGAGCAAGTTTTTCGTGATAAGATGGGTGCACATTTGTTATGTACATTCCACACATGGCGAAAACTGCAAGCATCTGCCGACCCATTGCCTCTAAACAAGTTCCATCGCAACTCTGCGGTTTCAGGTGTTTCACCAAAGCCTTCACCTGCAAATTATCAACTTTAGTACCGTTGTGATCTCATGGGTAAGTGTATGTTACATTATCCAATGCATCTGAAACTTGAGATCGAAATACGTCCACGAAATTTGCACTGTTGCTCATTCTGATAACACCGCTACAAGTGCGAAGAAAAACCCTCGAGCTAGACTTCGAACTGCTCGATGCGCCCTGACAAACAAGCTGAGTTTAAGACGAATGAGGTCGTCCCATATTACCTCCGAGTCTACAGGCTCGATTGTTGCTGCTTTCTCTGTGCTTTTAGTGGACGAATTGGAAGCCGCATTTTTGTCAGAACTAACACGCTCCAACCTCAGCACTGTCCCCTCGCCTCCGCAAACTATAGACAACGAAGTGTTTCCTACAACTGTTTGTTGCACACTTTCTACTGCACTGGTCTGAGAACAATCCTGAGCTGCCTTGAAAATCACATCAGCTGCTAGGTAAGTAGCCGGCTGATCGCGAGAAAACAGTCGAGCCTTGACGTTGAGCAACACCTTCAAACCAACAAAATCAAAACGCAAACGAACAAATCACAAGCGAATTACTTCATCCAAAGTGATCTGTAACAGCTCTCTTTTGTTGGCATCTGGCAGAGCAACCCAAAAATCGCTGAAGCCTTTATGCAAAGCACTGTTCCCACAAAGTTTGTCCAACCGCAAGAGCTCGTCCTTCAAGAATGGCTCGAAGTAGCTTTGCAAAACTCTTTCGTAATACAATCCACAGAGGGACTTGCGATACCTTCATCAGCATAATCAGAGATGAAAATATAGCGAGAGGGCAAATGTACGTTCGATTAACGGGCATATAATCATGCGTGACAACATGCACCGTTGCTTGGATAGTGATATTTCCTCCATCGTCCACCCAGCCCTGTGCTTGATCATGTAGCTTGCTGAGGCTTATGAGTTTACTCCAGCCCCATGCACTATCACGTTTTCCCCTAAAAATGTCATATCCTGTATGAGTAGATGATTTGGGGAGATCCTTGTTGACCTAGACAATCAAATGAGCAACAAAACATGTGTTGCCCCTGCCATATGACAGCTCACCACTGTGATCTGATAATGTGCAGTTTGACTCCACCCCGGCAACTGTTTACGATCCACCGCACAGAGAAAAACAGACAAAGTTTTGTCACTCTGACTGTCTCCATATGGATACATTTCCAGTTTCCATTCGAATCCTCCCACTTCAAAAACATCACTGCGTCATCATGTTCAGATCTACAACAAAGACAGATGCTGCTGCCAACTACCTGAACTGTCTTATTTTGCTGATGTCAGCTAGTGAGTCCTTGTCTGCAGGTGCTGCCGGCAGAGCAACTGTCCAAGTGAATTGTCCAAACAAACTAGTTGAATCGCCCGTGCTCTCCACACTGCCAGTTGCATCAGGCGCTGACGGCTCGTACAACGGATCATCGTCATTATCATCGAAATCCCGTGCAGGAGAAGATGTTGCCATAACACTTTCGGTCCCCCTGTCATGAAAACTCAGCAAGATGAAAAAGCAATCGACATGAAAATTTTGAGCTTTTGGACCTGCCCCAGGTACACATTCAATACAAAGAGTGAAAGACATGACACGCATCAACGTGCAAGGATCAGCTTCTCCACTAGTGATGCCATGGAAACAGAAAATTGATCCTCAACGTTTACGCCCACTTCATGGCTCTATGAGGAGACAGGAAGACCCAGCTCACAAGTCGCAGAGCGAGGGAAGAAGAGGCCCGGTCGAATGCATTCGGGGATGAGGGAAAGGATGTTCACGTTGGCAAGAACACGAAGGAGATAAGGAGAAGCGGGGGCGGGCGGGATAGGGAGAAGGCGATGCACTGTCCGGGCAGAGGAGAGGAGGAGGATGGTGCATACGGGCGCGGCCGATTGTGGCGGGTGGAAGGTGGGGGTGGGGTAGTGTGAGGTACCACAAGGGTAGGGTAATGAGTAAAGATAGGGTGTGTTGAGGAAATAGGACGGGTGAGAGCTGAGTCAACCTATAGCACGGGTAGTGGTAGATAGGAGGTTGTCACATTCAGGGGTGGGTCCATAGCGCGAGAGGGTGGACGGATGTGGTAGCTGATGTGGACAATGGGGGTAGAAGGGTAGTTTGCATAGCGAGAAGGGGTAGTGCTATAGAATGGTCTGTCATGACCGGGTAGTCACTGATGTGTAGTTGGGTAGGGATTTGAGGGGGTCAGGATTGTATATGGGGTGGGTAGTAGATAGATTGGGTGCTAGTCAGGGTGGAAAAAGGGTGGGGTGGGGGTGGTAAGGGTGACTTGGGTGTACGGGTGAGAGAAGGGGGGCTGTGGGGGTACCAGTTGTATCAGTTATAATTGTAAAACACTCAAAACTATTTTATTTGTGAAAGTTATATTTCATTAACTAACTTTATAGTATTTTATTATATACTTTTAGAGAAATATGGTATCTCTGGTACAGATCTGGAGAAACATCTCTAAGGGGATTTAGAGTTTTCTTTTTATGATTTTTTACACAGTAATCTGGTCAGTACAGATGCAAAAGAGGGCAACTCGGGCTAAAAACAATTGTGTACATTCTACGACATACCAAGATACTACTGGCTGGTACAAATCAGCCAGTAGTAGCCTCGCAAAAACAATATAGAACTTTGCTGATCGGACTCACTGCGGGACGGCCCGACCGCGGGCCCGGGACCGGGAATGAACCAATTTCGATTTCAAATTCTACTCTCTATTTTCAACTTGTGTGATCCCAGTTCAACCCTAGTTCAATCCTTTGTCCTTTGGGATGGCGGCAGTCGCCGCAGGAGGTAACCCGCGATGCGTACCCTAGCGATCAAGGGAGTGAGCAAGAAGAATGGTCCAAGATAAGAGCTCAGATTCTGTTCACAGACAAGCTGAAAGAAACAAGTTTGAAGCACTTGCCATGATCTCTCAAGAACTTGTCTGTTTGTAGACTGAAACCTGTCGTGTCTGATGCCGCTGATTCCTTGCCATGAGTCTGTAGTCGTCTTACCCCCACTAAGACGTTTGTTGTAGGAACTTCGTTTCCGTACTTCTACACGCCAGCAGGTGGAACTCCCAGCTCGGTGAGTTTCATTTGTTCCTATTCTCCCTCATTGTCTTGCCTCTGCCTGAAATAATCTAAATTTGTCTCGCTCCAAGTGCATCGATGACCATTCGTAGATCATGTCCCAGGCTAGCTCTTGCTGTGGAGGAGGCAAATTCTACTCTGCTCCCGCCAGCTCAGGAGGATCTATTATGCCGACAGGCAGCGCCAACTCGTGGGCTTATCCGTTCGTTGACAGCAATATGTGAGATGAAGCGAACCGGTGATGCTGCGATCATGATCCCTGATATTCAAACAGGCCACCATACATCACGGCAACAACTGGATGTCCTTATCAGATATTCCCCTCTTCAGGTTCGGCAGGTGAGGAAACCTCTTGTGAGTGAGAGCAGGAGGTGATTCCTTGGTAGGATACCAGGATGCTGGTGGATTCAGCGCAGCGGATTTGGCAGGATTTTATTGAAGTGGCAAGCGGCTTGTATTGTACATGTAAACAGATCCAAAACTTTCACACACCGGCAGATCATTGTGTTCCTCTTCTCTCTAAGGTGGCTGGGTTTCTCAATCATGTTCATCATAGTCTTTCATCACAGCGGCTACTTGTTGAAAGCTTCAACTTAGCATGGAAACCCTCATCCGATTTTATTTGCACATGTTTTGGTGATTTTGGCTCAACAGATCTCAATCTGTGACACAAAGACAGTTGCGAAGAGAATAAGCAACTTTGTGAAAGTACAACCAGACTGGAAGAGATGAGAGGAAACAATTCTGGATAGAGAGGAAGATTGTGTAAGAATATTCAAGAGATAGAGGTTGAGAAGGGAGGAAAGAAACCATAGGAAAGTAGAATTGAGGAGCAGAAACACGATCTTCAAAATTCTATTGCTACACACGCGGAACGTTACTTGTACTTGGTTTATCGAAGAGATAGCGTGTCATGTAAGAAGCCCTGATACTCAGTCAGATCAACGTGCTCCTCTTCCCCCTCAACCTCCTTCACCTGTCTCCACCTTTCGCAAAAACTGACGGCTCCTCCCATTAGTTCGCCGCATCCATCCTGGTTGCTGGTTAGTGTCGTATCTTTCTTCAAGCTTCCTCATTCTCCACCACGACCCTACCACCACCACCACCACCTTCTCCTCCTCCTCCTCCTCCTCCCCCTCGCTCACCTTCCTGCCATGCACCCGCACCTCTGACCTTGAGCCACCTGTTGTTGCTATTATACGGCAGTGCTGCTGAGCCACACGAAAGGTTCGCACCCCCCGTCGAAGTCAACTTGGCCGACCACGCGCACGACCGTCATGCTGCTCTTGGTGTCGAGCTTGGTCGCATTCACGGAGGGTCCAGTACGAACCTACCAGCAGAAGCAAGCGTGAGGGAAGGCGGAAAGAACTGTGAGGAAGGGAGGAGAGAGAGGGGAAGGGAGGGAGGGGAGGGAGGGAGAGGGGAGGGGGCGAGAAGAAGTCGTACTTTGACAGGCTCCTGGTCGACCACCTGCAAGAAGGGTGAGGGAGATCCGGAGGTCATCGTCAAGTTTCTCACCTGCCACATTTCGTCCAGAGCCTGTAACACAAACTTTCGCAGAGAGACTTCCCCTCCATTCCCAGCTGGGACCCAGCTAACACAGACCGTGTCAAGCAAGGGAGTGGAGACGGAATGTTGCATGTTACCCATACGACGGGCCCTGGGGAGTCTGTGTCGCCTCCTTCAATCGCATCCAGGGATGTCCTTCGTACTGCTGCTCGTCAGCGAGTTGTCGATGCTGATTGGAGGTACCTGATAGATCGCGTTCACGTCTACAATCTCACCCGCAAGCTTCTTCCCCACCCTGCGTCTCCGTCAGGGCCCCTCCTCCCTCCAGCTCCTCCTTCTCACCCTTGCGAGGCGAAGCCTGGCCCAGTCCTCACCTCGACCGTCTTCGCCACCACCGCATACTTCTCGTTCACGCTTTTCCATTGCCCGTCCATGCATCGCAGGATCGCTTTTCCACTATCCGAGGCCCGCACCCAGCCGGAGGAGCGCGTGATACCGGGCAGGGAGATACGAACCCATCCACCTCCCTCGCTCTTGCACTCTGTTGCCTCGAGCACGTCGCCATAGGAGCGAGTTGAGATCGTAGCGCTCTTGAGGTTCGCCTGCAGGAGCATGAGAGAGGAGGGGAGGCGGCGGGAGCTCTAGACCTCGTCACGGACGTTACACCCTTGAGACACGACCAGCCACCATCTCCCTCGCGCATTGAAGGAAGAAGGGGCTGCTTCATCACCCGGGACCGCTGGGAAATCCTGTCACTGTCATCGTCCCCTCTTGCCCTCAGCCTGCAGCTCACCGTGAACGCGAGACAGCAGGACTCGTCGGCCATCCGCGATCCTCATCCACACATCCTTCCTCTCCACTTGCTCCACCAGCTGGATCCATCCCCCGTTCCCCTCGATGCGCTTGCGAGCCTGGACCATGTCCCCGTGGTACTTCTGCCCGACGACCTGACTCTTGAGACTCGGCTCAGTCCGTATGTTGACTGGAGATGCGGAGCAAACGATCCACTTCTCGTTGACTGCCGTGCCAACGAGAGCCGAGAGCTGTACCGGTAGGCTGTACTCCACACCATGATTGTTGGGGGAAGGAGGGCCGGAGCTTCCGCTGGAGTCGCTGCTGTTGCTCCTTCGGAGGGGGATGTTTGCTACTCGTCGGTGAACTCCGTTGGGCGACGCGTTGACTGGCCAATGAGGCGTCAAACTCCGTCATGACAACATCGAGTGTCACCTGCGATCTTCGTGCGGTCAACGGTTCCTCTCTGAGCTCTTTCAATCTCAGCAGATGCCTCGGGTATCATCGCATTCATTCCCGCAAAGTCCTGCATCCCTTCAAGTCATCCCTCGCACGCCTCCCTCCCCCCGTTTCTCCGCGCACCTCACGCCAGGAAGGAGCTGTTGGGTCGGGAGGTTGAGCCCAGGGGATTTCTGCTTCTGACGGGGCAGGAGGGTGTGATCAAACGGGTCGGCAAGGACATCCCATGCTTTCACCTGCATTGAGAGGAGGAGCGGAGGGCTGAGATTCAAGGCTGCTTGCTGGTCTTTGCTGAGCTGGCAAACTGACGTCCACAAAAGTCCCGTTCTCATCTTTCTTGCGGACTCTTCCATGCCTCGCCTCGAGCTCCTCCTGCACTTGAGTCACCTTCCAGCCACTAGCATGTGTTGGTACACACGATCGCGGGATCCAGCTCATCATCAATGTCGCAAGCTCGCTTGTCAGGTGACGGTGCTTCCACATCTGGCCTATCTCGCTCTCTGAACGCTCTTGGTAAGGATCTGGTCGGTGAAGGAGAACACACCTCTTGGCCGCTTCAGCTTGCTCCTGCCTTCGGAGGACGCAAGTCTCATGGTAGTAGGTGCCGTCACTTTGTTCAAACCGACTTCACTTGCAGGTGAGAGCAAGAGTATTTGACACTCACCTGCCCTTCATGCGATTTTGTGAAGTCCAAACAGTCTGCCCGCACTCCCCGCACTTCCCACGCGCGAGCCCGAGATCAGCCTGGTTTGAGTTGGAATCCCTTCGAGCTCGTTGGTGGTTGCTCTGACTGTCCGAACTCTCCCCGTCTCTTCTATCTGTCTGACTGCTGGATCTCGAGGTCGATTCTCCATCTCCCTGTAGCATGCATCATGCCCGAGTCGCCTCCGGAGCCCGTAAGGCGTCAGCACCTTGTGCGAGTCGCTGAAGGATTGGGAGTTGATCAGTCCGGCCAGGCCCTTGTTCAGTAGAGAGTCTGCGAGTCCTGATGGAAGTCTGAGCCTCGAACACGGTGATCTAAGACGTACTCATCCTCACCTAAGATCGAGGCTGACCAGTCGTCCTGGCTGCCTTTGGATTCCGACTGACTGTCGTCATGCGAGCTTTCTGACGGCATCTCAGCCCTGCCAGCTGTGGGCGCAGCTCCAGTGCGAGCCTGCCAACAGTCAGAGTCGGTGACAACACCGTCTAGGTCGACTCACTTTCGCGATCGCTCGCTCTCGCCTGGCCTTGTAGGCACCTGAGAGGGGCTCAAGAGGAGTGGAAGTCTGGGAGGACAAACATAGCGAGTGTCAGCATACCAAGGTCTCAAGGCACAGAGCGCACTGTGCAAGTGGGCTAGTACCTGACAAATTTCAAGGACCTCGGTAGCTGTTGGTCGCTGAGCAGGATCGAAACAAAGCATTGAGACAATGCAGCGGCGGAGGGAGGGGGAGAATCGATGAGGCAGTCTTCCAGCATCCAGCGGGGTCGATAGCACCTCCACCCCGAGCATGCCTTTTCTGTCAGTGAGAAAGGACAGAGTCACCAACTCAAGCGCGATGCAGCCCAGACCCCATATGTCGACCGGTTCCCCTGTTCCCTCTCGCTGCAACATCTCTGGAGCAAGGTATGCTGGAGTGCCCACCCTGGAGGTCCTCATTCCATGGTCGATCTTTCCCGCAAGGCCAAAGTCAGCGATTTTCAGTATCTCTTCCTTGGTGATCAAGATGTTCTGGAGTTTGATGTCCCTGTGAATAATCCTCTCCATGTGTAGATACTCCAAGCCCATCGCTACTTGAGAGATCCAGGCGCGACATTGCTCTTCTGTGAAAGAATCACCGCGACTCTTGACGTCCTGCAGTCTACGAGCAAGATCTCCTCCTTCGCAGAACTCCATTACTGTACAGACCTCCAGCTCCTGCCCCTCCTGATGCAAGAACACGTCCACGTACTTGACCACGTGGGGGTGGTCGAGGGACTGAAGGAACTTTGCTTCCTGCAGCGCATCGTTGCCGGCTCGGATGGATGGGCAGGGGACTCTTTTGATGACTCTCACATACCCTGTCAGTATCTCCGTCGCTGTCATCGTCCTCCCCTGCCCTCCGCTACCTAGCTCGCGCCAGCCATTGAAGCCCTCCATTCTGTCCCCTCTCCCGTAGGGACGTTCCTAGGTAGGGTAGTATACCCTACCTATATTGAAATCTTGAAATTTGAGGATATTTCACCGGTGATGAAATTCCGTGTTTGGTGGGGGTGGTTGGACAAGCGGTGCTTGAAGGTCAAACTGGTCAAATCTTTCAGATCGTCTGGGAACTTTAGGATGAAAATGAAACTTTAGTCAATTTCAACAGTACTAAAATGAGAACCTTTGATCAAATAGAAGGAACCTTCGAAGGAAGGTAGGATCAGATAAAACCCGAACCTTTCAATCTGTTGCGCATAAAGTTCTCAGAAACATTGAAAAGTTCGGAGGTGACGTACACCACCCTTACCCCCATAATCCCCACTAGTCTGTGCTACCCGTATGGGCCGTTGAAAGATCAGATAACACCCCTATAGTTTACCGCAAGTACCCCTGATTTGGACTTGACCGGTCATACATCGATTTGATGCACCCCCAACAATCCTGATTGTATCCCAGACTACCCCCACACTTCTCTGGTTTACCACCCCACTGCTACACCATCAACCCACCCTGTCTCCATTTTGCCAGCTTCCCGCGCTATGCACTTTAGCTGCAGATTGAAATTGCACCTGCCATGGCCAACAGCTGCTCCAGCTCCAGACTGACTCGCTCTTCCCCCCCCCTTCTCCTGCCTCTTTCCTCCATCCATGAACGTTGTTGATCTTGCATGAGACCTGTATCAAATCACCGGCCGCACTTACAAAGCAATGTTATCCTTGTTTCCTCTGATATATCTTGCTCGATGTCTGCTTTTCGTGCTTTGCTCTGCTCATCGTAGGCTCCATATTACCCAGACTTACATGGTTGAGATACTTGTTTGAATCATGTCATAAAGCCCTCTTCCTCTTTGTTTGCTCCCATTCAAACAGTGTGGATCGCAATTTCAAACTGCAATGATTCTTTTCGTCGTTTTTAATCATGTGATAACATTTTATCATGAATGCAGATGCCGGATCCAATGAATGTGGAAGGGCAGGTGATGAATTCCTTTGCCTTCCGCTGTTTGTTTCTCGCTGATGTCTCGCAACAGGAGGTCGACAAGGACTTGTACTCTCGCACGATTGCGGCCTTGGGTGAAGATGTCGTAAGGGCCGTAGCATCTTCAACGGTTCGTCTTGGAACTTAGTTTCTGACTGTCCTCATAAGTGTGCCAGGTTTTCATCTCTGGCCTCAATGGTCTGGGATGTGAAGTCGCCAAGAATGTTCTTTTGGGCGGAGTGAAAGTGTTGACACTCCACGATTCCAAAGACATCACTCTCTGGGACCTATCCTCTCAGTTCTACTTGTCCGAGAAGGATATTGGTACTGACTGATGATGATGTTGGAAAGTGCTTCCGCATGTGACTGGATACTGTGCAGGAAAGAATAGGGCTGCAGCTTCGCTTCCAAAGCTTCAGGAGCTCAACACAGCGGTGCCGTTTTTTTGTTCAACTTGTTGGGATTGATAATTTTTCTAGGTCGTTGTGAATGTGCAAACTGCTCCATTGAACACCGAGATGATCAAAGGTGGTTCATGGATGGATGAATGAATCCACCTCTGTGATGCATAACTCTGCCAGGTCACACTGTTGTTGTCCTTGTGGACAAGACGTTGGATGAATGCATCAGGTGACTATCGCTCTACTTTGGTGATTGTCTTGGTTTCCCCTTTGACTGGCATAATCAGCATCAACAACTTTTGCCGATCTCAAACTCCTCCGATTAAGTTCATCAGAGTGGATGTCCGCGGTGCATGTGGACAAATATTTGCAGACTTTGGCCCTGAATTCGTTGTCAATGATGTCAATGGCGAAAATCCTCACTCAGGAATCATTTATCATGTCAGCAATGACAAGCAGGCAGTGATCACAGTCCCAAATGATGAACAAGTAGAGTTTGGTATTGGGGAATGGGTAACCTTCAAAGACGTGGAAGGGATGACAGAGTTAAACAATTTACCAGGTCCAGTCAAAGTGGTTGACACCGCCATGTACAACTTCAAAGTTGATCTCGATACCACGTCTTTTGGCAAGTATGAACGAAAAAGTCTGAATAGGTATGGCACTGTCATCGAAGCGAAACTGCCCAAGAAGCTTGAGTTCAAATCTCTGGAGGAAAACATCAAAAATCCAGATTTCAGTCGCGATCCCAACCAGTTCAATGGAGTTTTTGACTTCGACAAGTTTGGTCGCCCAGAGCTTTTGCACCTGGTCTTCAATGCCTTGGACGAGTATCAGAGGCAGAAGGGAGACCTTCCAGCTACTCAGGATGCAGCAGCTGCAGATGCGCTGGTTCAGATTGCAAAGGATTGCAAAGCGAAGAATGGCTTTGATGTCGAAATCGACGAGAGCATAGTCCGCAAGATTTCTCGTACAGCGCGTGCTATTCTCTCTCCTATGGCCTCTATTTTTGGAGGAATCGTGGGGCAAGAGGTGGCCAAGGCTGTGTCGAACAAGCATCATCCGGTTTACCAGTATGTGTACTTGGACTCTATAGAGATGCTTCCAGATTATGACAGCATGCTCCCTGAAGAGGTGCAACCTACAGGGTCGAGATATGATGCGCAAATAACCGTGTTTGGAAGATCCTTCCAGGGCAAGTTGGGTGCTTTGAACTTGTTCATGGTGGGTTGTGGCGCGCTGGGTTGTGAGCTCTTCAAGAACTTTGCCATGATGGGTGTTGCATGTGGACCGAATGGTAAGGTGACTGTCACGGATGATGATGTCATCGAGAAGTCGAATCTGAGCCGTCAATTCTTGTTCAGAAATTACAACGTGGGGCAGAGCAAATCTATCGCTGCAACTACAGCGATCAAAGAGATGAATGGGAATATTAGGGTTGACGCAAATCAAGACCGAGTGTCACCAAACACCGAAGATGTTTACCATGACAAATTCTGGTCAGGACTGGACTGTGTGGTGAATGCACTTGACAACGTGAAGGCTAGGCAGTATGTCGACGCTCGCTGTGTTTTCTTTGAGAAGCCTCTTTTTGAATCTGGGACGATGGGCACTAAATGCAATACGCAATGTGTGATTCCTCACAAGACGATCAACTATGGTGGGCGAAAGGATCCTGAAACTAAAGAGGCGCCCGAATGTGCGCTCCACAACTTTCCTCACAACATCAATCACTGCCTTTCTCTTGGCCGTTCGGAATTCATCGGAATCTTTGACACAAAGGCAAGCGAGGCTGCCAAGTACATCATGGATCCGAACTACAAGAATGAGATGTCCAGCAAGATTTGGGGTGCAGATGGCTCTGAGTTGCCAGATGCGCAGAGCAAGGCAAAGGAAGCTAATGAAATCCTGGATGGAATTATTGAGCTTCTCTGCGACGGAATGGTCAAATCGTTTGAGGATTGTGTGGTCTGGTCTCGTTTGAAGTTTGAAGAATACTTCACGAATAAGATCAAGCAACTCATCTTTTCTTGTCCAAAGGATATGGTCAACTCGAGTGGAGCACCGTTCTGGTCGCCTCCTAAGAGATTTCCAACTATGCTCGAATTCAACGCTGACGATGCCATGCACATGAACTTCATCATCGCAGCATCGAATCTGAAGGCCAGATTGTACAACGTATCTGACTACAAGGAAACGCGGGATCCCTCCTTCTTCAAGCCGATCCTTGCGTCTGTTGTCGTCCCAGAGTTCCAGCCCAAGGACGGAGTGAAGATTGAAACGGGAGAACGTTCAGCCGATGATCGAGACTCAAACTCGAACACCGATGCCCTTCAGCAGGTCAAGAACAAGCTGGCAAAGCTGCCAGATCTCAAGTCTCATCCCAATCTGAAGGTGTCTCCAATGGAATTCGAAAAGGACGACGACACAAACTTCCACATGGACTTCATTTCTGCGTTTGCGAACCTTCGAGCAAGAAACTACAGTATCGAAGAGGTCGACAAGCTACAAGCAAGATTGATAGCTGGTCGTATCATTCCTGCCTTGGCCACCACAACCTCAATGGTGACTGGATTTGTCTGTATAGAGATGATCAAGTATTTCCAAAACCCCGACAAGGCGGTCTTCAAAGACCTTCAGGCAAACCTTGCGCTCCCCATGTTCATGCAAATAGATCCAGAATCAGCTCCCAAGACAGTGCCGAGAACGATCAAGAAGGTTCCAGACCCCGTGAATCACCCCGAGTACGTTGAGGAGGAAGACTTGAAGACTATTCCGGCGGACGGTTTCACTGTCTGGGACAAGATTGTGATTGACAAGGGAGACTTGACTGTTCAAGAATTTGTTGATTTCTGGAAAAACGAGTATGGAGTGACATGCACAGCTATCGGAGTTCAGATTGGAGATGCTGCCATCGCATTTTACAACCAGTTCATGCAAGGAACGAAGAAGAATTTGCCTTGCAAGTAATTGAGGGTTTGCATCGCTTTCTTGAAGAATGATTTGTTGTTTGCAGGATGAGCGAGGTGTACAAGCGATACAACCCAGACTTCACGGGCACTTACATCTTACCCGCCTGCAGTTTGCAGAACGATGTGAGTGTAGATAGAGACATTTCTGAAGTTCTTATATTCCCTCAGGATATGGAGGATGTGGAAACTCCGACGGTGATCTTCAAGTTCTGAAGCTCTAGGAAGCGACAATTACAGTGGGGAAACCAATCTCTTGACTGGAGGTGGTTGTAATGCAGACTCTGGTTGACATGTGCAGTGTATAAACCTTGCAACTCTGTAGATACTTCTACTTGCATCCTGTATGACTGACCTCTCTGAATGCAGCAAGCGAGATTGGGTGCTTCACTCTCACCAACTGTGAAATCTACCAACCTCTATGTGCACTTACTTTACTGTCTTATATGAGCAAGCCTCCTCTACTTTATCTACAACAACAGCAGAGATGCGAGGATTTTCCTTTCAACCTAGTGGATGCCGTGACCCGCTACACCCCACTGCTGTAAATCTCTCATGCACAGGTCCTGGGCTGGTCTGCAGTCTTCTGATCCCCGCATCTCACGCGAGGCTCCGCAGAATGAGGTGAAACCCTTGGAGGAGAGTTCGTCAATCGCGATAATCTACAAGCAAATCAAAGGAGAAGAGGAACAAGAACAAAAACCTCCTCTGGAAGCTAGAATGTCTTCCAAGTTGTTCAACAAGTAGTTTGCAGCTAATTGTTCGTCCTTATCACATGCCAGCCAAGCCTCCAGCACTGCCTGACGGTCGAGGCCCATTGGAACCACCAGCTGCTCTAGTCGCTCGACCTGGTCAAGTTCTTCCCTAGTGAGTTGAATGGTGTGCTGTGATGGCTCTTGAGGGTTCTGCATCCCCTGCATCCCCTGCATTCCCTGCCTCTGCTGCTCTAGGAACTGTATCGATCGTTGCAGCTCTTCCGGAGAGACAGGCTCGTTCACGATCCGTACGAACTCGGCCTGGTTCTGGTTGATGGTAGCCAGCAACGACGGGTTCACTCGACCTATCTGCAGCAGGAGCTCCGGGAGCAGACTTGGCTGACTCTGCACACAGTGCCTGACGAAAGCAAACTGAGGATCTCTCCTTAGCATCTCGAGCTGATTCCCTCCTGCTCCTGCCTCACTAGCGTTGACGGCAAGAGCATCCATGTTGAAGCGCAAAGGCATCGAGCCATGAGAAGGTGCCTCGGGAGACGCTCCTTGCTGTTGCTGTTGCTGCTCCGCAGGCTGTTCATTCTGCATCTGCTGCGCATCGTCACTCGCTCCATTGTAGAGAATCTCGACGGCTCTATCGGGATTGTTGAACGCTAACCGCAGTGCGCGCCTGACCTCGGACTCCGCGAAGCCCATACCACAGATCTCCCGCACACTCGCCTCAAGGTCCTCGCCCATCAGAATGGTGTTGTTCTGTAGTCCCGAGGTGACTGCAGGCTGGTCCTGTGGCTTGCTGACCTCAACCTTCTTCAAGGTGACTCCTTCGGGGGGCATCATGACGAAGAAAGAGATCTTGGGACCCAGCGAGCTGATCGTCTGAGAATCATCAAGGATCTTACCCTGCAGGATGATCTTCATCCCTTTCGATGAGTCCCTCAGCATTTCGTCTGTCACGTCGTACCGCTTCACTTCACTGATTGCCTTCTTGAGATCAAACACAGTAGAACTCCCTCCGATCTCAACTTCGAAGTTATCCCCAGCGATGCTCTTGACCTTCACTTTCATGGTCTCATCCGATCCTCCAGTCAACCGAAGCATGGGCTCGAACAAGTTCCTTCTTCCTCTCGTCAGGGTCGCGGCATATCCGTTGAGTCTCAGGTTGTCTGTGGACGCGAGCTGCAAGCAAGCGAGCAAGGACAGGCCATGGAGCCATGCTGCTCCCCGCTGTCGCCACATGGCCCCTGCCCTCTCTACTCCTCCTCCCATGTCTCTGCATCCTCTCGCCCTCCTCCCTCTGCCGCCCTCCTCCATACGGCGCCGGTACTCCGCAGCGCCTCCCGCCATCGAGGAGAGAGAGCAAAGGGGATGAGCGGGGAAGAGGGGGTCACGTTGCGGCCATGCGGTGGACGACGGTGACGAGGCGGGAGAGGCTGAAGAAGGTGAGAGGAGGATAGAGGCTTGAGAGGAGGCGCTGAAAGGAGCCTGAGAGTGGATCTTGTCAGGATCTTCTTAACAGTGAATACCCTCCCGTGCTCTCTCAGCGTTTCAACGAAAGGTGATACAGCAAGGATTCCTCGATACCCGGCTGTCAGCCATCAGCGCTCAAACTCGCCGTCTCAAACTCATTTCTGCAAGAGGCATGGAGCAACCGAAGAAGAGAATCACTGCCATGTGCACAGCTTACGGCGTCGACGGGGCTGTTAGGGGCGGGATGATTGGACTTATGTGGGGGCTATTTCAGGGAACATACTATGGTTGGCAAGACCAGCTGCGCGGTAGATTGTTGGGGATGCATGTTGCAAGAAACTTAGCGGCCAACACCGTCGGATTTGCTGCATTTCTGGGAATGTAAGAGGTGCGCTCGGTCGGCGAATATGCTGATGAAGTTTGAAGCTATCAGATTGCGCATTGCTCTATGGAGAATTCCCGCAAGAGGAGCGACTGGAAGAACGCAGCAGCAGCAGGGCTCGTCACGGGAGGGGTAGGTCGCCATAGCGTGAGATCACCTCACTGTCGTTCCAGGTCATGGGCCTGCCCTTGGCTGTGAGAACTGGGGAGCCTCGGTGGGCCTTGTTTGCAGCTGGATTTACAGCAGGTTGGAGGGAGGAGGCAGGAGGGAAGAGGGAGGAGGGAGGTGTGAGCGAGGAAGAGCAAGATGGGAGGAGGGAAACAGGGGGAGGGGGAGAGAGAGGAGGAGAGCGAGGAAGGAGGAACAAGATGGGAGGGGGATAAGGGCAGGGGAGGAGGGAAGAGGCTGACGGAGCTGCAGCGTTGACGGGCTCTCTCGATCTCGCAAGACCGAGATGACCAGAGGAACGCAGGGTCCATTTCCCTTGCTGCCTGCCGAGCTCCAGGGTCCATTTCCCTTGCTGCCTGCCGAGCTCCAGGGTCCATTTCCCTTGCTGCCTGCCGAGCTCCAGGGTCCATTTCCCTTGCTGCCTGCCGAGCTCCAAGTCTTATTTTTTCCATTCCTTTCCTCGTATTTTTCAGTGAAACCGTAGAGGATACGTGGAACTTGAACCCATTACTGACTGGAGGGAGAAGTTTTGACCTTGAGTTGCTTGCTTCTCACCTTTGCTTTCTTCATGCTGGTCTCAGTTGTGAGGACGCCGCATCAACTTCAGCTGTCAGGCTGAAACATTGAACAGGGAAGCTCAGACACGAGCCGCATGATTGACAGGCGGAGGTCGATGACGATATTCACTGAAAGGCTCTGCGTCTGGCTGCTACTGAAGCCAAATTTGTCTCGGCCGGGCCGGGCCGGACTTGACTGAGGACTGAGCCCTGTCTTTACTCAAAGTTAAGTTAAAGATCAGTACGAGCCCTGTCAAGTGTCCTGAAGTCACCCGAGTCTGTTCCGCCGGGAATCACTACCTGCATGATCACCGGGTCCTTCCACTGTCGACTACCCCTACCTAGTCACCCCCCTTGAGATCGCCACAAGTTCCTACCACCTCCATCCGCCGCGGGGCCCGACTACAATGCTGCTTGCCGCTCGCCCTACCACCATGCTGCTTGCCGCTCGCCCTACCACCATGCTGCTTGCCGTGCTTGTCATGCCAGCTGCCAGCACTCTCACAAACAGATTCGCAACAAGAACCCTGATGCCCTCCTTCGTCATGCCAGCTCCCAGCATGGGCTTGAGGCGTCGACCGCATCTCGGAATGCTTCCAGGCTTCCCCTCAGGCGCTTTCACCGTGGGGTCACGAGTCTTGAGCTCACGGTCGGGCGCGGACTGGGAGAACAAGGAGAAGATGGAGGAACACAAGGAAATAGAGATACAGAAGGCACGCAAGAAGATCAGTGAGCTAGAGATGGAGATAAGACAGCAGAGACAAGACCATCTGGAGCTTCTCAGTCACTACCAGCGTCAGCTATCCTACTCGACTCAAAAGTGAGCACCAATCTTGTTTGAAATGTGTAGAATGAATTCCAAACACAGGTTCCTTGTCGGGAATCTGTTTGCGAGAGTGGCCAACGTCCTTTATTACGATAGAAATCTCAACTCGAAAGAGCTCCAATTGCAGGCAGCGGACTTGGATGTGGAAGATTTGATGCTGATAAAGCAGAAGCGGCTGTCCATGATACGCATGGATGCTCTGTTGTCCAACTGGAATTATTTGCGGAAGGCAGTATGGAAACAAATGAAGGCACCCGAGGACCTTGAAATGCCTGGTCTCAATACGTTTACGATCTTGGAAGGGCATGTCATGGAGCCTATACCGTGCGTGCCACCGTTCCCGTTTGTGTTTGTGTATGTATCAGCAAGTGCAAGTGAAAAGGAGATCAGATTCTTCAAAGAGGTTGCAAAGGTCTTCTCACAGCGTGTGATCTTGTACGACGAATCTTCTGCTGACTTGGGATTGCATCTCGAAATTTGCTCTCTCCGTCAGAAGGCCAACAGTGAACTGCCCGATCCGTCCGTTCCATGAGCCCAGGCTCTGGCGGTCATGACCGAGAGGAGGTGATGGCGGGAGTGCAGTAAATATTGATATCGGACGGACGGACCAGCAGGCTGTGTGCTCCCGGTAGATGATGGATTGCAAAAATGGAAAGACCTCCTGTATTCAGAGACGCCCCTTGTGTCTGTACCTTTACTCAAAGTGAAGGTAAAAATCAGTACGAGGACAATAATGAGAGTCGAGGAGGCTTGACCCTGACTAGTTTGCCATTGTGTTTGTACTCAGTACTACTGAGTAGTTTGTCATTGTGGCAAACACCCCGGGCCGTTACGGAATACGTTACCTTAAGTCAAACTGTAAAAAAAAAGTCACACATTTCTCGGTGACGTTTCGCTGCATGGGGTGGTTGGGCTGGTAGAGCAGGAGCAACAGGGAGGGATGAAGCGGAGGAGCCAGCCATGTGCCTTGTCTTGTCTGCCAGTCTTTCTCCTCCTCTCCAGCGGTCTCGGAGCCTCGCCAAAGCTTCGGGGAGCAGGATACAATGGGGATGGAGAGTTGGGAACAGGAAAGGGGACGGCGGACTCGTACCTTCTGGCAGATGTTAACCTAACGCTGAGAGAAGATGGAAACATTCTTGTGTCCATGCTTAACAGTCATGCCATCGTGCTCAACGGAGATCCTAACGCAGCTACAGGCATGACAGGATGGATCTGGGGTAGCAACCGCTTCGGTCAGCTCGGTCTCTCTTCGGATCTCAACGCACTGCCGTCCCTCTCGCTCCCCACCCATCTTTCGCCTATTCTATTTCCGAGCACGACGACGGGGAACAGCTTCGGGTCGGTACCAGACGTCGCTTTCGTGTACGAGTGGAACGCATCATGCAGCTGTGAAAACAGGCTGGATATCACCTTTTCTGGTTTGATGAGCCTCAAGGACATTGAGAATCGTTTCAACGAGTTCTTGTCAACGAATGCTGTTTCAATCCTTCCTGATTATGCTGAAAATGCCATCGATCTGCAGCTAAGATTGTCAGGAAGCAGAATAGATGTTACAAGTTCGTCGGTGTTGAAGGACAGGTTCGTCTCTACATATACTGATGACATATGACATTTGAATGTTTGGGCAGGTTGGGTCTTACTTCTAGCTTCCCTCAAGTGGGCGCTCTGAATGAAATTAGTCCCCGGGTGGGAAACAAACTTCGTGTCTCCTACCTCAAGCCAGAGTTGCAAATCGACAACACTTGCAATACACTTAATCTTCTCTATTGGGATGCAAGTGCCAATGCAGCGGTGACGAAACCTTTGACGATCAATCCCGGTTTGTACTCGGCAAGTGAGCTGGCTGCGAGATTGCAGAGTGCGGCACAAGACAGTATGATTGGTGATCTGATCAAATTTCAAACGACAGATCTAGGGGTGATAGTTATTCAACTCAAAAAAGATGCAGGAATGGTAATTATGGCAATCAATTTACTGGAAAAGTTGAACATCCAAAGCCAAATCCCGACTTCAGATAAGTTTCAATCCTCACAGACACAGTCGGTTCCCAATCAGATCAGCTCTACTGTGGGAAATAAGTTTTGCTTGCAGAGCTTGGCTTGTGCGACACTTGACAGCGGCGTGGTCATGTTGGAAGCAACCGCGTCGAAAATCAATTCGAAATTGCAAGCAAATTTGACGTTCTATATAGACCAGGAGAATTTCGTGTGGATACGTAGCCAACAGGATCTACTTTTCTCGGTTTCGAACACGATCTGGGACTACCTGGGGTTTGAACCTGCAGACCGGGCTTGTAGCATAGGTACCGATGGTCATTGCTTTGTCAGAGGCGTAAACCCTCGCCCTTTGCTCTCTTCTCTTCGTGCTGTCAGCTTGAGCGGATATTGCGGTGCAATGGGCGGGATTTGTATCTGCTCGCAATCCAGCTGGGGTTTGCAGTCTGCATGCCTTTCCCTCTCCAGTCATCGAGAACTCAATGTCTCATTCGACTGCAACTGCACTCAGGCCGATGCTTTCGTGACTGCAACTCCCAGCAGATTCTGGGGCATAACGCACAACTACAACTTGACGTTTCCAGCTGGCATCTACGATATTGCACTCTTCCAGCTGACTCTCGGAGCGCTGCTCTCAAACTTCTCGAGCCCTGTAGTGGTGACATCACCGGACGATTCTTCCCTTAACGTGTCAGTGAGCCCTCGCTTCATGGTCGACTTCCGCAGCTCAACGCTGCCGATAGTTCTGCATGTGGAGGGGACAACGATCCCCCCGAACGCGGAGTACTCGCAGGTGCCGTACTGGCAAGTAATTGACATCTCCGACGTACCTCTTTTCAAGTCGAAGGTCAGCAGAAGGACGAGCCCGGTCGGAGACTACGTTCTTGACGCAGCAGCCGGTGGGAAGCACTCGCTGGTGCTGACAAGAAACTCCAAGACCAACTCAAAGCGTCTCTGGGCCTTTGGGCTGAACGAGGAGGGTCAACTAGGGACTTCGCAAGGTTTCGGCAGCGCAAACCCAGTTTCCATCCCCGTGCTCTCGCAACTTCCTTCCGCCATCAGCGCGTCATCGATCGTCAAGGTGTATGCGGGACTCAGTCACTCGAGCTTTCTTATGAGCAACGGTGACGTGTGGCTCTTCGGAAGCAACACGAGTGGGCAGATCGGCCCTGCACAAGGGTGTACCTTCAGTTACTTTCCCTGCCGCCTTGCCCGTCCTTCCTCTCAGTCTTCCTTCCACTCTCTGGGCCCCAGGTCGACTATCTTCATCTCTAGAGGCAGAGAGTTCATCATCTATGGTACTCTCAAGTTCTCCTCCTCTAAGCTCACTACCATCGCCTCCGATGTTGTCAATTTCACGGACATTAAGTTGGGAACCGAGCACTTGCTGCTCAAGTCAGACAACAACTCGCTGTATGGTATGGGGTTTGCGTATAGGGGGCAGTTGTTTCAGAACGTGTACCAGATGAATACTCCGACGAAGATCAAGTTTGATGATGGGAGAGAGCGAAAGGTTATCTCATTTGCTTGTGGGCAGTACCACTCAGTCTTTCTGGACAATGAGAGCTCCATCTGGGTCGGCGGAGAAAACTACTTTGGGCAGCTGATGGTGGACGTAAACTTCGAGCAGAACTTCAACGCAAACTTTATGCAGAAAGTTCAAGTTCAGAGCATCATCGACAGTCTTGGCAAGCTCGTCGTTGATGGTGTTTCAGTCTTCTCCTCCAGCTTCACCTCCTTCCTCCTCACCAGCTTGAGCAACTGCAGCACCGGCAAGTTCTCCCCAACAGGCCTGCAGCCCTGCTATTCTTGTCCAGCTGGCAAACACTCGAGCACTATCGGAGCCAGAAGCTGCGACAATTGTTCCTTGGGCTACTTCTCAGCAGCAGGGGCTGCTCTGTGTCTGCCCTGCCCCACAGGGTCCTATAGCGATGTTGAGGGAGCGTCTTTCTGCTCCCTCTGCCCCTCCAACCTTCCTCGAACGCTGTCCGAGGGCACGATCTCAGAGCTTGACTGTACCGTATCCTGCAGTGAAGGCACTGCCGGCCCATTCCGCACCGAGGTACCTTGCCAAACCTGCGAGCCCGGCAAGTACACGGACACTCAAAACTTGAAGGCCTGCAAAGTTTGTCCAATCTCAACGTACCAACCCTTGAACGGGTCCAGCTCTTGCCTTGCATGCCCCGCAAACTACAGCACGGCGTTCAACTCCTCCACGTCTCCGGAGCAGTGCTTGAGGATTTGTTCTGTTGGGGAGTACGGGCCCTACGGGCTGGCTGAGAACGGCACCTGCTCCTCCTGCGAACCCGGAAAGTTCACCAACACCACTCGATCTCTCTCTTGCCAAGAGTGTCCTGCTGACTCCTTCGCCAACGTCTCCGGCGCCTCCTCCTGCTCCTCCTGTCCTCCTGGCTTCGGCACAGACTCTCCCGGCAAGTCGGTGAGCTCCTCTTGCCTGCTGCTCTGTGCCGCTGGGACCTACGGGGTGAGCGGGCTGGTTCCGTGCCGGGTGTGCGAGGATGGGAAGATTTCAGGGCCCAGACAAAGTTCCTGCACATCCTGCCAGGTCGGCAAGACTTCATCTGAGAATCGAACCTTATGCGAAGCTTGTCCCGTCGGCAAGTTCGGAGTGGAGGAGCAGGGGAACGTGTCTTGCGCTGCCTGTCCTTCGGGGAGATACCAGGACAAGGAGGGGCAGGTGGAGTGCGTTCCTTGTCCAGCTGGCAGCTACGGGAATGACACCCAGCAGACGGCCTGCTACACGTGCCCAGCAGGTCTCACAACACAGACGTCAGGGGCGGCGAGTGTCAGCTTTTGCCTGGCCCTCTGCGCTCAGGGGACGAGGAGCATCAACGGCTCCATCGAGAACTGCGTGCCCTGCGAGCCCGGGACGGCTTCTTCCTCCAACGGGACGTCAGGATGGCCCCAGCAGTGCCTTGAGTGCCGCCCGGGATCGTTTGGCTTTGGCCCGACGTGCCTTGACACTGACACGTCATCGCTCAACGCCTCCTTCACCTGCAGCAACATCTCCAATGTCTCCCTCTGTAGTCAGCTCAACTTGACTGCTGACCTTTCTGCTACGGAGGCCTGTTGTGCTTGCGGCGGAGGGCGTCGAGGCTACGGAGCCGTCGACTGTCAGGCTTGTCATCCCGGCACCTACTCCTCCAGCAGCATGGCCTCGTCATGCACCTCTTGCCCAGCTGGATACTTCGCAGGTGCAGGAGCCACTTTGTGCTCTCCTTGTGTTGCCGGGAAGTTCGCCAACAGGACGGGGGCAGCTGAATGTGCTTCGTGCGAGCCCGGCAGCTTCCAGTCGCAGACCAACTCCAGCCTCTGTCTCCTCTGCCCCCTCGGCTACTACAACGATCAGCACTCCCAGCTGGCCTGTACATCTTGTCCAGCTGGAACTTTTTCGGATGAGCTGGGAACGACTTCATGCTCTGTTTGCCAACCAGGATTTTACTGCCCCGACGCGGCGGTCGCTGAGATCCCTTGCTCTCCCGGCTACTTCACCAGCTTTAATTTCAGCTCCTCCTGTCAGTTCTGCCCAGCGGGCACCTACAGCGCTGCCAACGCCTCCACGGCATGCGAGCATTGCCTGCCGGGCTCAGCAGCCCCAGCAGGGTCCACGTCCTGCTCAGCATGTGCTGAAGCGACGTACTCCAACGGCTCGACGGCGATTTGCTCCCCGTGCCCCTCCGGGACTTCAACGCTGCCCAACAAGACGAGCAGCATCGTCGACTGTCTCTTGATCTGCCTCAAAGGACAGTACGGGCGGGCCGGGCTGTCGGAGAGGAGCAACGAGACTTGCTCTTCCTGTCCAGCCGGTCAGTTCTCCAACATCACCAGAGCCTCTTTCTGCTTCTCCTGCTCCCCGGGAGCTTACAGCCAAGTCCCTGGCAGCTCATCCTGTCAACTCTGCCCATCAGGCTCATCACAGTCCGAGTCTGGAACCTCCTCCTGCTCCCTCTGCCCTAAGGGGAAGTTTGCAAACACAGAAGGAACCGAGGTCTGCTCAGACTGCCCAGCTGGAACATTCTCAGACCAGCTGGGCTCCAGAGTCTGCACCCCGTGCGGGTCTGGAAGGTACTCCAAGGCTGGCAACTCCTCCTGCATTTCCTGCCCCCCCGACACCCAGACAGCGTCGGAGATTACAGCTGACGTATCCGACTGCCTGCCCTACTGCCCTGCTGGCTACTTCGGGTCGTACAACGGACTCAACGCTTCCTCTGCGCCTTGCGAGAGATGTCCAGCTGGGAAGTTCAACCCGTTCCAGAGGAAGTCACAGTGCTCGCCCTGTCCTGCTGGGTCTTACTCGAGCTCAGAAGGTGCGACCTTCTGCTTGCTCTGCCCTCGAGACACGTGGAACGCCAACACCTCGCAGACGGTCTGCACCACCTGCTCGTCGCTGGAGGAGGGGATGCGAACTGTGCGGGAAGGGGCGACGAGGAGCAGCGACTGCCGGTACTACAACGGGTCAGTCTGCACAGGGAGCGTGAAGGGCTTGGGGGCGTACCTGGCGTTTGCAGCTGGCGACAACTACTATGGGCAGTCGAAGGAGTGGGCGGGGACGGGGTACCAGGCGTCTCAGAGTCTCTTCTCGCCCATCCCTTTGCTCTGCTCTGATCTTGGCAACGAGGAAGCGTCAGGTATGTTTGCGTCCGGCACGCACTCCATCATCCAGACTGCGCGGGCCAGCCCCTCCTCCCCCATCGCCGTCTCTCTGTGGGCCTTCGGCTCCAACATCTACGGCCAGCTGGGCTCTCAGCTCAACGTGGGCATCGACACCCCCAACACGAGCCCGCGCCGGATCCCGCGGTACTTGTTCTCGAGCATCCCCTGGGGTAACCGGGTGGTGAAGGGCAGCAACGATCACTTCGGCTACTCCCGCTGGGACCCGCAGACTCTCACCCGCGTCTCCTTCACCATCACCATCCCCGAGGGCCTCCAGGACCCCTTCACCATCCTCGAGACCATCAACTCTGCTGCCTCCCTCACCTACGGACACCCCGCAAACATCTTTGGAATCGAGTCGAACTTCAATGGCGATCACTTGACGTTCAAGGTGAACTTGCCGGGCTACCAGGCTGACTTTTCCTCCAACCTCACCGTCGGTATCAACCTTGCACTCTCCTCCCTTCGCATCCCCAGCACGGGGACAGTCGGAGAAATCAGCAAGGCAGCTGGCAACAACGTCTTCAAGTACGTCCTGTGGTGCAGCGACGTGCCCAGCTGCAACTCGTCCAAGACCGTCAGGATTGTTCTCGAGGACGACGTCTACTCTCTCAGCAGGTTCTCAGCTCAGGTCGAAGACGCGTCGGTCAGCAACGGGGACGGCGTGCTGTTCAAGTGGAGTCTTTTCGATGGCAAAGTCCAGCTGACGCTCTTGTCAGCTCGGGTCCAGGTGGACTTCACAGAGGCTTCGAGCGTGAGCTCGTTCCTTGGGTTCGAACCTGGCCTGTATCCCAGCGACTTGAACGCCTCCTCCTCCTCCTTCTTGACCCTCAACGCCTCCTCCCGTTGCTACTTCACAGTAGACGGGGGGCTCGTGTACCCCTACCAGCAGACCTACAGGTTCCCAGTACAGGAGCCGCTGGAGGTTGTGCTGGGCAGGACCCACTCGCTTGTCAAGTCCACGGACCTGCAGACGAACTTGAGCCGCCTGTGGTCCTTCGGGTCAAACCTCAACGGTCAGCTGGGTCTTGACATCAACTCAGGCTCCTCCTCTCCCAACTTCCTCCCGTTGCTCATCCCCGAGTTCGACGAGGTGCAGGGAGGGTCCAAGGTGAGAGACTTCCAGGCCGGGGACTCTCATTCCGTCGTCCTCACTGCCTCTGGCGAGCTCTACTCTTTCGGCTCCAACCAGTTCGGTCAGCTCGGGCACAAGGTCGGCTGGGGATCTACTGGGCCAAACCCGCAGCCGACGCGAGTGCCGCTGGAGTCGCCGGACAGTCCCTTCCTCATCAACTTCCTGGCCGTCGGCAGTGAGCACAACTTTGTCAAGATCTCTGACACCTACGGCGCTTCTAAGATTCTCAGCTTCGGCTCCAACGAGTTCGGGCAGCTGGGCAGGCCGGAGAACCAGTCACTGTGCGTTCAGAACGACCAGGTGCTGACGTGCCGAACTGTCTACCAGCAGAGGTACCAGGTATCCGATGTGGTACCCGTCCCCGTGGCCATCGGCGAGTCATTCCTGGCCGTGTCATCCACCGACTTCTCCCCAGCTGAGATCGAGAGCATCGCAGCTGGAGGCTCGCATACGCTTCTGCTCATGTCAGACTATCGCTTAAGGTGCCTGGGGTCCAACAGGTTCGGCCAGTGCGGATACCTTCCCAACCCCACCCTCCTCTTCAGCCCCTACCCCTACCCCGACTCCTTCCCCTACACCGTCGGCGCGACCTACGACTATGTGCACGGGAAGTACGTGGAGGTCCTTTCCTGCTGCTTCTCCTCCGCTCCCTTCGCTGGCACCTGCGACCTCTGCCCCTTTGACCGCAGTCGCGTCCGAGCACTAGTGGCAGGTAGCGATCACAGCATCGTCCAGACCGAGGACGGGCAGGTCTGGACCTTCGGGTCGAACGTGTACGGGCAGCTGCTGCACAAGACGGGCAACTTGCTGACGGGCAACCCCAACTACCTCGTGGAGGCAGCTCCTCCCAGCTCCTACGGGGACGGCACAGAGAAGTTCATCGACTTGGCTACGGGGAACACGGCCCGGCACAGCTTTCTCCAGCTCTACCGTGACCTCTGCCCTCCCGGCAACTACTCCAACGACCGCCGGTCGCCATGCCAGCGGTGTGAGCCCGGCTCCTTCAACGACAAGCGCGGGACCCTCGAAATTTTTCTGTTCTCCCCCGACCAGAGTTACGTCCAACCTGACTCCGTCCGCGGCCTCAAGTCTCGCGTGCCCGTCGTCCTCCACTGTGAGCTTTGCCCAGCTGGAACTTCAGCTCCAGGTTTCAGCTCCACCGCCTGCACCCGCTGCTCGGCTGGTGGGTACACCATGGCCGGCGCGTCAACTTGCCACGACTGTCCACGTGGCACATACAGCGACTTGCTCAACTCCTCCAACTGCACCTTCTGTTACCCCGGAGAGACCAGCCAAATTTCTGCTACATACTGCACTCAGGTATCCTCCTGCTCCTGCTCCTGCTCCTGCTCCTGCTCCTGCTCCTGCTCCTGCTCTTCCTACTGTCCTTGATCATCATCTTGATCAATTTTATATCATTATCATGAATCCTTCTCTTTCATTTCCTCCTCTCCTTCTAATTTCCTTTCCTTATCTTCTCTGGCACTCCCTGAACTAAACCTCTTGCAGTGCCCAGTAGGCAAGCAAGCGCCCTACTATGCCAGCGAGTACTGTACCGTCTGTGAGCTGGGAAAATACACGGACACGGTGAGGAACAAGTTTTACAAGTTTGCGGGAGCTGGGCCTGACGGCTGGTCAGAACTCGACGCATGTGTGCAGCGTCTGCCCGGCCAACACGTACCAGGACCAGCTAGGACAGACTTCATGCAAGGCTTGTCCAAACAACACGGTGAGTCACGGTTAAGCGGGAGGAGAGAGAAGGAGGGGAGGGAGAAGGAGAGGAGGGAGAAGGAGTGGAGGAAAGGAGGCAGGAGGAGAGATGATTGTAGTGTTTGTGCGTCAGGTATGACTCGTTTCTGACATTTTGACCCACAGCAAACCAGCTCAGACACCCTTGCAACAAGCATAGACAGCTGTAAAGTTCTATGTCCTGCAGGTCAATTCTCCTTCCCCTCTCTTCTTACTTCTCTCTCCTCCTTTTCCTCCTCTCCTCGTTCTCTTCTGTCTTCCTTTGTCTCTCTCCACTCTCCTCCTCTCTCCCCTCTCCTCTCTCCCCTCTCCTCTTCCTCTCTCCTCTCTGCTACTTCACCTTCACCGCTCTTCTTCATCTCTAGTTTCCAACTCGCTTGCTCATTTTGCCTTCAGGAAGTTTCGGCGACAAGGCGCCGGTCGGTGACTTCAGCTTTCAAAATTGCAGAGGATGCCCCCAAGGTGCGAGGGAGGAGGGAGAGGAGGGAGAGGGAGGAGGGAGAGGGAGGTGGGAGGGGAGGGAGAGGAAAGACGGGAGAGGAAGGAGCATGGAGGGTGGAGGAAAGAAGGTAAGGAGAGAGAAGACGGACAGGATAGAGAAGCGAGGGAAAGGAGGAGCACGTTCTGAGTTGGCTACGTACCAGGCAAGTATGGTTCCAATGATCGATTCAGCAGTGGAGGAGGAGCTACAGGTTTTCATAACTCCTCCCTCTCCTCCCCTCCTCCTTTCCTCTTCTCATGTTCGATTGTTCTTTCTTCGCTTGCTATGTTTTCTTCGTTACCTCCATCACCAACACTACCTCCTTCTTCTCCCTTTCCGTTCTATTCTTGACTCGCGCTGATTTCGATTTGTCAGTCTGTCGAGACTGCAAGCCAGGATATTTCTCTACAGGGAACGCTAGCATCTGCACAAGTTGTCCGGTGGGACTTCTGACGCCCTAACAGTGATGATGATGATGATGATGATGATGATGATAATGATGATGATAATGATGATGATGATGATGATTGTTCCTTGTAAACGAACAAGACGTGTTATTGACATCATCTGACTTATGGTGCCTGCAATACCTTCTTGTGTCTTCCGTGTTCAAAGATCGCTGTGAACTGCAGTCCTTCAATTATGATCATATATTTTAAACGACCTCCTTCAATCGCATGATTTCTCATCCTATCATTGTTAGTCTTTATCTATCTTTCCCGACTTCTTGCTTGTTACACATCCACTTTGTTTTCTCGTTTCCTTCGCGCCTGTTTTCGCCTCATATGCCTGGTTGTTTTGTTTACATTCTTCTTTCAGCCTGGCGAGTATTCCGACCAGTCTCTCTCCACCTTCTGCCAAATCTGCGTGGCCGGCAAGTATGGTAGTGGCAACGCGAGTGTTTGCCTTGCCTGCTCTCCCGGCTCGTTCTCCCTGGCTGGCAGCGTAAGTTTCACCTCCCTACTGTCATGATTCCCTTTCTCCCCTCCCCTCTCTGTCTCTCCCCTCGCTCCCCTCCCTTCCCTCGCTTCCTCCCTGCCCTCCCTCGCTTGCTCCTTGCCCTCCTCTCTCCCTCTCTCCCTCTCTCCCTCTCTCTCCTTCCATCTCGCTTTCTCCTGTCTTGTTGCTTCCTCCTACCTCAGTCTCTCAATCGTTGATCCCCCTGTCTGGTCATCGTTTCTCTCGCCTCCTCCATCCTCCAGCTAACCTATCAGCAGGGCTTCTGCTTGCCCTGCGATGCCGGCAAGTACATGAACATCTCAGGCAGGTCCTTCTGCTTGACCTGCCCAGCTGGGAAGTATTCCGACGTCGGGTTCAGTGCCTGCGCTATCTGCTTGTCAGGCAGCTCGAGTCTAGCTGGGCAGCGCAACTGCTCGCTATGTCTACCTGGCAAGTATCAGTCCGCCAACCAGTCCAGCTCGTGCTCCAGCTGCATCCCAGGCTTCTTCTCTGGGGAGGGTGCTAGCATCTGCAGCAGCTGCCCAGCAGGAAGTTACTCAAGGCAGGAGGCAACCTCTTGTATCTTCTGTGCCATCGGCACGTACTCCCCGATCGCACAGACACAGCTCTGCTCCAGGTGCCCCCCAGGCTCCTTCACCAACCTGACGAACCAGACGGTCTGCCTGCTGTGCGAGCCCGGGAGCTTCAACGATCTGTTCAACGCTTCCTCCTGCTCCTCCTGCGATCCAGGCACTTTCAGCTTGTTTGGGTCTACCAACTGCTCAGCATGCGCCCCTGGAAGCTACAGTCTCATCGCAGCTGGAGAATGTACCCCATGCTCTGCTGGCTTCTTCGCAAACTCCAGCAGGAGCTCAGCTTGCTCTGCGTGCTCTCCCGGCTCGTTCGCCAACTCCACAGGCACCATCCTCTGCTCCAAGTGCTCCCCCGGCTCTGCTGCCGTCAGAAACGCCTCGACCAGCTGCGACAACTGCGTGCCCGGCACCTTCAGCGCAGCAGCTGGGCAGGATATGTGCATGCTGTGCGCTGCTGGGCTGTTCACGTCAGAGTTCGGCAGTGATGTATGTGCGTCATGCCCAGCTGGAACGACGACACAGGACAAGCACTCGGCCCTTCCTGCCCTCCCCGAGATGCATGACGACGCCAGGAAATGTTTCGCCGTGTGCGAAGCTGGGAAGTTCAACGCTTACGGCGTGAAGTCAGAACTTTGTGTCGACTGCCCAGCTGGATACTATGCTGGAACAAACGGATCGACCAGCTGCGAACAGTGCAGGTCTCTTCCTCACATCTACTCCCTGCTCGCTCCTTGCTGCTTCCCCGTCTTGTCCTCTCCTCTCTTTCCCTCCTAAACTCCCCAGCTATCTCATTCCCCAAATCTCCTTCTGTTCCTTTCCTTCTCGAAGCTCCTTCCCCCCTCTCTTTCGTTGATCTCTTGCAATAGTGCCGGGACCTTCTCGTCATTAGCAGCAACCGCATGCTTCCAATGCGAGCAAGGAAAAGTCAGCAACGACGCTGCTAGCACTTGCCAGCTCTGTGCGGAAGGTGAGGAAGAGGAGAGGGGCAGGGATAAGAGGATGGAAGAGGAGAGGAGGGTGAGGGAAGGTGAAGGAGAGAGGGAGGAGAGCCGGGAATGAGAAGGGAACAAGGAGAGGGAAGTTTGGAGAATCACGCGGAGAGGAGAAGGAGGAGGAGGAGGAGGAGCTAATACAGGAGGAGCAGGAAAGTACCAGAAGTCAGCGGGAGGAAGCGTTTGCATCAACTGCCCAGTCAACTTCGTGACGAGCGCCAAGAGAGATACGTGCGAGCCTTGTAACTTTCGCTTCGAGGACGCCGTCCTCCTCCCCTACCAGCGATGTGGAGCCGGTGGGTCATCATGCAGGCAGGGAGTGATTACGGTTCCCTACAACGCGGAGGCGCAGACGCTGAAGGACGTGGAGGAAGTGATGAATAGAGCTCTGAGAGACCAGGAGAACATCTTCGGAGTTGTCACCCTCTCCTTTGCCGACGCCTCTCCTGCCATCGAGAAGATCTCGCTGAGGGTGCGGATGGACTTGAACGTCAGAGGCTTCCAGTTGCTCCTCTCCAACTCCTCCCTCTCCTCGTTCCTCGGCATCTTCTCCGACGTCCCTCCCTCAGGCCCCAACGACTGCACCGTGCTCGCCAGCTCCACCGACGTCTGCGGCACCTCATACTCGCTGCAAGGGAACTACACGCCTGTCACGCTGTCGACAAGGTGAGAACAGAGGCTGGGGAAGAAGTGGAATTGAGAGAAGAGAATGAGAGGAAGGGGAGGTTGGGAAAGGAGAGAAGGTTTGAAAAAGAATTGTGATGCGGGAAGGGTGAGGAGAGGAGAGGAGAGGAGAGGAGAGGAGAGGAGAGGAGAGGAGAGGAGAGGAGAGGAGAGGAGAGGAGAGGAGAGGAGAGGAGAGGAGAGGAGAGGAGAGGAGAGGAGAGGAGAGGAGAGGAGAGGAGAGGAGAGGAGAGGAGAAACAAACAGGAGCAGCAGCACAGAATATTCTCACAAGAATGCGCAGGTTTCCAGGGGCAATCGATCAGACCAGCTGCGAGTCTTTCTGCCCAAAAGGATACTACAGCAAGGACGGCAGGAAGAGTTCAACGTCTCAATGTTTCCCATGCCAGGACGGAAATTTCTCCTCCAGCACCGGCTCCTCTATCTGCTCTATCTGCGCTTTGGTCTGTTGCTAAACGTTCTCCCTCCCCCCTCCCCAACCTCTCTTCTTTCCCATCTTTTCCTCTTCCCCTTTGATTGCCCATCTCTCGTCTTCTCCTTATCCACTTCTTCTCTCCTCGACTTGCTTCACTCTCTCCTGCTCCTCCTCCCGCTCCCGCTCCTTCTCTTGCCCCTTCTCCTGCTCGTTTCCCTGCTCCTGCTCCTGCTCCTGCTCCTGCTCCTGCTCCTGCTCCCCTCCTTCTTCTCTGACGTCCTCTGGCCATAGGGAACTTTCTCCGGCTCGTCTCCCTCCGCCGTCTGCGACGTCTGTGAGGAAGGGAAGTACGCCGATCGCAACGGCAGCTCCACCTGCACCAAGTGTGTCAGCGGAAACTTCGTGGCCGTTACAGGCGCAACGGTCTGCCTTCCCTGCTCCCCCGGCACGTACAGTGAGCCGGAGTCAGTCAACATCTCCTTCTCCAGGTTCCCCGACACCTGCCTCGAGTGCGCCTCAGGGACGTATGCGGCGAGCAACCGATCGACGTCATGCTCCTCGTGTTCAGAGGGCTTCTACTCCTCCCTCAAGAGCTCAACCCGCTGCGACCTCTGCGAGCCAGGCACCTTCACCTCCAACGCCTCTTCCTCCGCATGCTCCACCTGCTCCGCCGGCTCTCGCAGCGACATTCGCTTCGGCTCCACCATCTGCATCAACTGCCTGGCCGGCTACTTTTCTGGAGCTCGTCAGTCGGTCTGCCAGGGCTGCACACCCGGCAAGTTCTCGCTGGCAGGAGCATCTTCCTGTACTGCTTGCAGCGGCGGAAAGTTCTCAGGTGCTAACGCGTCAACGTGCGGCATCTGCCCGGCCGGCACCTTTTCTCTTGTCAACTCCAGCTCCTGCACCACTTGCGCCTTCGGGAAGTTCAACCCTGCTCCTGACGCCAGCACCTGCCTCAACTGCGAGAATGGCACATACACGGATAGTACTTCCAACTTTCATCTCTGCAGCATCTGCAACTTTGGCAAGTACTCGCTAACTGGTCACTCCTCCTGCACCTCCTGCCCCTCCGGCAAGTTCACCAGCGGACAGAAGAGCAGCAGCCTTGCCCTGTGCATCGACAAGTGCCCTCCGGGCCTCACCGGCTTCCAGGGGGTCGAGCCATGCAACTTCGGCTGCGAGCCTGGCACAGCATCCGATGTCCCCGGGACCATGTGCGGGAGTTACGAGGAACAGAAGGCAAACACGTCCTACGACCAGCTCTACGTTGAGGGAGGAATCTGCCTCAAGGCCGTCTGCCCTGACTGTGCGGCTGGCCAGTACAACTCGGTGATCAATGCGTCTATCTGCCTCGACTGCGACATCGGCTACTACTCCCTCGGCAAGGCCATCAACTGCACTCAGTGCCCGTCCGGTAAGTTCACTCGCTCTACCGGCTCCTCCTCCGAGGCCAGCTGCATCGCCGCCTGCCGCCCAGGATCCTCCAGCCCGACCGGAGAGAGCCCCTGCTTCGCCTGCCCGCCCGGGACGTACAGCTACGACACCAGCACCACCTGCTTCCTCTGCGACCTCGGCAAGTTCAACTCCAAGTACCTGGTGGGCGAGTGCAGCAACTGCCCACCTGGGACAGGCACGAAGGCGCGAGGGAGCGTTCAGCTGGGAGAGTGTGTTGGGATCTTCGAGAAGTTCTTCAACGTGTCGCTGAACTCGACGGAGGCAGAGGTGCTGACGAGGCAGGACGAAGGGAAGATCGACCAGCTGGGCATATTGCTCAACGGGGTCGGCTACATCAACGGGTCTGTTGACATCTTCGGTACTGCAGGACGCCTGCTGGACGTCAAGTTTGCGGTCGACGCGCTTGGGTCCGTTTCCTCGTTCGACATCTTGCAGGGAGGGGAGAGTTTTACCTCGCAGGGGCAGGTGGATCTTTTCTACGACCTGCCGGCTGAGACGCGAGGAGCAAGAATGTTCTCCTCCATCACCTCCCTCAACCGCCGCCCGTCAGTCTACATGAACGGGTGCTCGGAGGGAGTCATCGAGGCTGTGTCCACTAGCGGCAGCGGCTTTGTCTCCTACTACACGTCCGTCAACGGCTCCATTGAGAACATCTGCATCGGGACGAGGACGAGGAACCCGGAGGGATGCTCCTCCTCTCGCGACGCGCATGGCAGCGGCTACGATGCGAGCACAAAGTTCGTCGTGAAGGAGAGAAGAATCGGGTCCATCGTCTCCTCCGGTCCGATCTACGGCTGCACTGCCAACGGCACCATCCTTGCCGCTCCTCGCTCCTCCTCCTCCTCCGTGGTCACCTCCCACATCCCCGTTGCTGACTACCTTCTCATCAACGGCTCGTTCACATCCTTCAACTTTCTCCAGCTGGACCCTCAGGTCGATCCAACCCAGCTCACCATCTTCCCGTCGGACGCCTCTTGTCGCTGCGGCACTGGCATTTTCGCCATCATGAACTCTACGCTCCCGCTCGCCGGCTTGTTCTCAGGTCAGCTCTACGTCAAGGGGCCGGACTTAAACTTCCGCGCTCACTTTGTGGCCAACGCCTCCCTCCTCTCCTACACCATCACCGCCGAGGGCCAGGGGTACGAGCTGGACCCGAAGGTGTTCATGTGCCCGTCCCCCTGCGTCCTTGAGTTGGACAGCTGCGTGTGCAGCTCCGAGACGGAGGCGACTACAGCCATCAAGAGCATCGAGCTCGTCGGCAAGGTAGGAAGTCCCTCCCCACCTGCTTCACTGCTGACCCATCACAGGTTGGAAGACCTGGGAACGCTTCGGGCAACTTTGAGCAGTGCCTCCAGCTGATAGTGGAAGAGTCCAGCTGCCGCTGCGGCTCAGGGATCGAAGAGGTGCAGGTGGTGGCAGGAGGAGCAGGATACATTCCTGGGGTCCTGCTGGGCGATCCTCCCGGAAGCGGGTTCAATGCGACCTTCAACACTGAGAACTGCTCTTCCTCCTCCTGCGTTGGCACCGTGACCTCAGTCTCTCTCTTGGATCCCGGCAGTTCCTTCACTGTCCATACGAGTATTCAGCTGGGGTATGCCTCTGCCGCTGCCTGCGCGGAAGGGACGGTGATAGGAGGGAACAGCTGCAAGCAGGACGGAACCATCTCACGGGTTGTAGTCAGCGACCAGGTGAACTTTCAGGCAGTAGGGGAGGGAGAGGCGAGCGCGACTTGCGAGGGAGCGTGCACAGGGACCGGCTTCGCAGGGCGCTGCTTGTTCGAGCTCGGAACTTTGCGGCAGGTTGTAGTCACCAACCACGGGTCCGGCTACGACCATCGCTTCCCTCCAAACATCACCTGCTCCTTCCTCTGCTCCTCTCCAAGCGGCCTGCGCAACTGCTCGACCTTCAATTCGACCGTTAAGCTCACTCCCTGGATCCCAGCTGGAGCCGAGTTGAGCTTCAAAGTGGGCAGGCCATCCAATCAGCTGGGAAGTCACGCGGAATGTCTGGAGGCAGGCATCGCTCAGCCTCTTGTGCAGATCGAGGCTGGGCCGCTCGTGTCGCTCCAGCAGCGGCTGGTGGGGGCGACAGGGTACGGACCATGGAGGGTCGTGAGGGAGATGAGGCTCAACAATGACACTCTGCGCAATGATCGTCTACTGTGGTACTTGCAGACCATGGTGGGCTCAGCAGAACTCCAGCTGACAGACGTGAACTGCTCGGCTCGCAAGTTTGTCAACCAGACGATCGACGCCAGCAGCTCCCTCATGAACTTCTTCGAGTGTGAGGGGTCAACGGACGCCTTCGCTCCTCGTGCTCGCGCTCTTGTCACATTCCTGGAGGTCCTGTATGCAGCAGACCCTTCCTACGTCAGGCTGCACATGACGCTGACGTTCGTGATAGAGTCGTCCTCCTTCTCTCTGCCCAACCTCATCTTCTTCCAAGGCCTCCCAAGCAGCTCCTGGATGAAGACGTTCCTTTGGTCTTCCTCCTCCTCCGGTATCGTCCTGCAGCTCAGCACGTTGCCTATCACCATCTCAAGCACCCGAGCTCTCCACCTCACTCCTGACATGCCAGCATTCAGACACGTCCTCTTCCCCGACATCTACCAGCTCAATTCCAGCAGGGACGAGTGGGGGTTCCTGCACGGGGTCTCGCTGTTCGCGCTGGGAGTGAAGCAGGCAGGGGCGGAAGGCTCGTGCCTTGGCCTCGAGCTTCTCTTCCCCAGCTTCGCCGGTCGGAGGGCATCGGTGGACGTGCTGGGCAAGTTGCTGGTCAACGACTCTTACTGGCCGGCAACAGAGCAGATGACGTGGCAGCTTCACCTGCTCGATTCGATTCCCTTCCGCAACTCCAACTTCAAGTTCGCGTCCCCCAGCGCCGACCTCCTCTTCATGGGGCTCTCCCAGTACGTCGACCTTGACATCTCCTTCCTCCTCCAGCTGAGCATCGAGAGCAATTATATCCCCCCCTTCCCGTGCTCTATCGCTTTCCCAGCTGTCGCACAGTTGCAACAAGGTGGGCTGCTGCTGGGGTCTGGAGTTCTGGATCGATGGGACAACATCTTCAGTTACGACTGGTTCAACATGCCGCATGTGAATTTCAAGTTTTCTGTGAACGTTTGTGTGGGATGTGCTCCTTATCCAATCATGTCCTTCAACTTCCATAGCAGGTTCCGGTCCTTGCTCCTCTTGTTCTCTTCCTCTTCTTCTTCTTCTTTTCTCCCTCTTTCTCACCCTCTTCCTCCTCTCCCTCTTCCCCCTCTCCCTCGCCTTCCTCTCCCTCCTCCTTTCTCTCTTCCCTGTCCTCTCTTCTTGCTGCACAGGATGTCGCCTGACATGCCTGGTCAGCGGAGACATCTTGGTGGGCTCGCGCAGTTTTTCGGAGAGCTCAGCTAATGTCACGATGAGAGGAGCAGCAGGCGAGAACTTCCCCGACCTCTTGCTGTGGGTTCAAGTCTCCCACAATGGTTTGAGACCCACCGACTTCTTGCAAGCGTTGATGCAGGTGGGTGTGAGCTGGACTCGATCGGTCTCTCTGACAGTCCTTGATACAGTACGACCGGACGCTTCCTTACAAGCTCTACTGCTCGGCATCCGCTGGGCGAGACATGTACTTCTTGAGCCAGCAGCTGACCATCTTGTTTGCTACTCGCGCGTCATCGTCGGACGTGAGAGAAGATCAACCTTTTGACAAGTCCCACCACTTTGACATTTTTTTTTTCTGTGCAGATTCTTGACATCGGCATTGACGATGTTAAGTGCGTCACTTCGTTCAACGGGACGGTCCCAGCTGGAAGCTCCTGTCACTTTCCCTTCACCTATAAGAACCAGACGTTTCACAACTGCACAACGATGGTCGACCTTTGCCACTGTTTATTCCTGCCCTTTACATGCTCTATCCGTGTCCCGTCTTTCTATCTCTTTACATGCCTTCGCGTCCTGTCACTCATGGCATGCGCAGGACTGGGATCGAGCATGGTGCTCGACAACGGCAGCGTACGAGGGGCGATGGGGCGAGTGTTTCTGTCCTTCATGGCAGCGGTACGACTTGACCTCCTCAGCTAGGAAGATCCTGAGAGGTTGACAGGGGGGTATCGTCCTGGAGCTCCGTGAAGTTAGCTGGGCCTTTGGTGGACTCGCAAGGAAATTTGGTGGAGCTGGGAAGTTACTGCAATCACTCTCTATTCTCCTACGATGATTCTGGTGATCACACGCGCGACAACTTTCCCGGATCCTTAGCGATACTTCCCAGCTCTCATTCCTTTTCTCTCACACCATGCTTGACCTCGCTCTCCCTCTCTCCTGCCTCTCCCTCCTTCCCTTTCCGTTCTCCACCTTGGCTCGCCCTCCTCACCTCCTCTTGTGTCAACCTGAACTTGCTCGACTTCATCACGTGACTTGATACTCCCAGCGCTCATGGAGACTTTCAATCCAAACTTTCCCTCCCCTGCCATGCAGGACATGCAGCTCCGGCTCCTCTGGCTCCCCTCGCAAGGCATCGCGTCCGTCCTCTCCTCCCCGGCAGCTTGTCACCGGAGCAGTTTTTCCCTGCTGAAAGACAGCTGCGCGAGGTTGGGCCTCCTACCCGCCCTCGACAACAGCTGGGCAAAGGACAAGTAGGAAGAGCATCGTTACTCTTGTCGCTGACATTGCGTGTGTAGCTCGCAGACCTGCTCCTCCTCCTCGTCCAACGCCATCATGCAAGCTGAGCCCGAATCTGTGAGGCTTTCTTTTCAAATTCTCTGATGTTGACTGCCCTATCCAGCTCTTCCTCCCTTTTTTCCAGACCGATTTGAATGTAACGGAGCTTTCCTTGTCTTGCTCTCCTGACGTGAATCTCAGTCTCCGTTCCTCAATTTCTTCCTAGCAACATATCTCGATCAGATGGTGAGAGAGCTTCTTGTCGGACTGCCTTGACCGGCCTGCTCAGTGCCAGGCTGTTCGTTTCCGCAAAGAGCTTCTGCTGCAGAACGTGGAAAAGGCAGCAAATCGTCTTATGCCTTGGAGAGGTGAAGATGGATTCTCATTTCTTCTTCTTGCTGAACGCGTCCTGCTCTTGTCTCCTCCTCCCGGCCGATCTCTAGCCATGCAAACTTGGTGACTTTCCTTGCTCCTCTTTCTTCTTTGCTGATCTTCTCGCAGCTTCTGGGTTGACTCAGGGCTGCAAGATATGCGCAGCTTCTACGAGCGTGTCCTCAGGTGAGCTCTCCTCCACCTGCAGCTTCAGCTGATCCCCAGCGCAACCAGCGCCTGCACATCCTCGTCCTGCGTGACTCTCCTCAAGCCGCTCATCGCCTGGGCCCTCAAGCAGCCTTGAGGAGCTTCGGCTCGGGATCAGCTGGGCTGCCAGGAGGGAGGGGTGGAGGTGGGGGGTCATATTTATGTATTTGTAGTCTATTCTTTTTCTACGTCAAAGGTTGTCAATCGGCGTGTGTGTGCTCCAGCTGCTGGATCTTCTCCTCGAACTCTTCCTGCGCCTGCACAATCTCCGTCGTCCTCCTCCGATCCTCCTCCTGGCATGTCAGCCTGAGCTGGTGCATGAGCGTCGCAAATGCGCTCCGCTCGGCGGTCTGGATCTGGTCTTCTTTGGAGTCCAGCCTCTCGAAGAAGTAATCTTGAGAGGCGCTGATTGAGCTGAGGACCATCTCCTTCTCCCGCAAGAAGGACGCAGAGTCGTCCGAGATGTCCCCGAAGTCGATGTCAAACTGAGCTTTATCTCGAGCCTTGGCGTTCTCGACCAGCGTGTTGACTCGCTCGATTTCTTCCATCGCCATCTCCATCACTTTCTTGATAAAGTTTGACAGGATTTCTCTGAGGGTCGTGAAGAAGCTGTGGGCACATCACGGTCAAAGAGCATGGCGAGAAGAAAGAACAAGTTACCCGCTATTGCTGTCGGAGATGATTCTGATAATCTCACCATATCGAGCCTCGAACTCGTTGATCATGTTATCTTCCATATCCTTCTGCCGAAGCTGCAGTTCGCTCAGCTCATTCCCTAACGTCCTGTTAGAGTTTCTAAGCTCCTCCACTTCCTTTCCAACGATCATGCTGGGAGTTTCTTCATCATCCAACTTTGCGGCGACTCGTTTCAGCCGCTTCTTGAACAAGTTCACCAGCACGATACTCTGCTGGACGCTCTCGGACTTCTTCTGTTCGACTACCTTCCTGAATCGCTCAGTCTCGTCCGCCTTCCGCTTCACCAATGGAGCCTTCGTTTCTATAAAGGGCTCGATGGAGTTTCTGAATTCAATCTTGATTTCTTCATGTACCTGTCCAAAGTCATCAGCTTCGCAAAAGTACCGAAGTCTCTCACACCTCTTTCCAAAATGGCAGCAACCGCATCTGTCAAGGAGAGGCAAGCAACGTCAGGTCTATCTCGAGCTAACAGAAGAGACACCTTTTCGTCTTCAGGATTGCTGTTGATCATGTCGGCAAGAAGGTTGTCGATGCCCTCAATGCCATAGCTCTTGAGCATCTCACATTTCCTCACTCTCTCCGCTTCCTTCTCCCTCGCCTCAGCTTCGCTCTTCTCTTGGTCGTTAAGCTCGAGCAGCTGATCTTGAAACTGCTCGCGGGCAGCCGCGACCTCTGATGTTTCCACCAGTCTGTAGTCTAGATATGACAAGTGCCCTCCACTCTTCCAGTCAAAATAGGAAAGATTGGCAATGACAAAGTTGCGGTAGTCAGCATCGTTTTCGATAGGATTGCCACTGAGAGTAAGCATCTTGAGCATTCGAAACTTTCTCAAGTACATGACATCTTCCAAGGAGGACACATTGTTCTTACCGACGCTGAGCATGTTCAGTGACGACAGGCTGTCGAGGCCTTCAAGCTTACTGATCGAGTTGTTGAAGAGCGATAGGTCGGTGAGGCGGACGAGCTTTTCGAGCCCCTCGATCTTGGTGATGTTGTTGAAGGACAGGTCGAGCCACGTCAAGTTGGTTAGATGATTTAGATTCTCTATCTTCTCGATGATGTTGTTGTCAAGCTGCAACTTTACCAACCCGTCCAATCCGTCCAACGACTGGATTTGCAGAATGTTCTTAAAGGAGCAAGCAAGAGCTTCGAGCTTATGCAGCTCGGTTTGAGTTTTGAGCTCTTCCTTTCTCTCTGTGCTGGTAGGAAGGTAGTCGGCCGAGGAAGCACATGATCGCACCATCTCCTCGTTGATCACCATTGGCTCCGCCACCCGAACCGCCCGACTCGCCATTGCGTTTGCAGTGCTTGACTTGCGACTCACCCCACCCCTTATTTTGGACAAAGTAAGAGTTCTAAGTAGGGTGGGGTTAAACATGCAGCCGTTGATGAAACAATAATTCAGTCACAATCGGCACACGACAGAGTCACGGTCTCAGCACTGATCGCACACTCGGCCAGTCACCGTTCGGATGAGACCGGCGACGGTCGGACGGGCTGACGGCTCGCCCCGGCACTGCGGCCGGGCATCCGGCGGGCCCATCATCCGATCATCGGCGGGCGGGGATCGGACTGGCAGCCGTCGGAAAGGACTTCGGCGGCGGCCGCAGGCCGGCGACATCGAGTCGCTGGCATGGCACGGGGGGCAATTGTCCTGCGCGCTGTTAAGTGAAGGTATCACTGATTAAGTTTGAGGGACAGCCGTTGGCAGGATTAGGTTGGGTTCTCGCTGTCAGGCTTTTCTCTTCTCGCCGGTTGGCCGCAGTGCCATCTACGGCGCGACACTGTGACAGAACGTAACTGATTTTTAACTTAACTTTGAGTAAAAGGCTGCAACTCAGTTGATGATCGGCCCTGCCAGGCTGATGGCTGATACTACTGAGTACGGTCTCGAGTCTTTGAGCCGGAAGTTCGGGCCCGGCCCCGGCTCAGCGGCTCATGCCGCCATCATCCGAGTCGCCCGCGGCCCATCATCGGATCGGATCATATTGCATTGCTGGGTGATGGACCGTACCCTGCCCGCACAGCATAGTAATCAAAAGGACCCCCACCCGTGTTTTTTCAACCCACCCCCGATTCATATCTAAAAGTACCCTGTTCTTACTAAAATTTTCCCACCCCTACTCCCTACTAGTACCACTGGGAACTGCAGCTCTTTCTCCTCTCCCCCGTTCTTCCCCAAATCAACCACCCTCTCACAATGTGCATACAATAATGGGGTGGGGTGTGAAACCCACCCTTATCAATTACTCTTTTTGGATGGAAGTCGAGGAGGTGAGGGTAGTTTCCAGTATGGCTCAAAAAAAAGAATGTTTCGGGGGAAATGGAGGCTGGGGGTAGAGGATTGGAGGGTGGAGGTTAAACAAGCACATGGGGGTGGGTACTGCAAGGGGTCAGCCAAAGAGGGAGTGTTGGTCAGTGTGGAGGTACTTCGAAATTGATGTAGGGTTCGTTTGACATGGGGTACAAATGAGACACCGTAGGGTAGGGTAATCATTCCAGCGGGGTTATTCATGGGAGTAAACTAAAAAACATTAGTAGTAGAAAGTATGTAGGGGTGGTGGCGGAATGAAGTCTTTTGTGGGTAGAGTTTGGAGGTAATGGGGTGGGTCATTTACTATATTCAATGATGGGAGGGATGGGGTACTAATAAATGCCGGGTAGGGTACAGGATGAGATTGAAAGGGTGGGTAGGTGGGTACCGCCACCGCTCATGAGCTCCCGATGTTGGTTGGGTGCGATTGGGTCACAGAGGGCAGAGAGCTGAGGAAGTAGAAGCGAAGGGAATGCAGGCAGTTGAGGGCCCTTGCTTCCAAGAGAGCAAGGGCGTGTCTGATCATGACGATTTCATGTCAACGTTCATCGTGGAAGCTGAAATACTGTTAGAGTTCATGACTCTACCACGTGTATTTTTCTTTAGTTACCATGCACATGATTGTTGCGTTAACGATTCTTGCGATGTAAGATTGTTTCCGCGATGAAGCCCAGGAAGTGACTGAACATCTTTCTGGGTCTTTATCATGATTTATGTCTACGAGTGATAACCAACCCGGTCTCTGCGTCCTATCCATTACATTTCTCTTTGACGTTATGATGATGGAAATTAGATAAGTAACTCGTTCTTACAGGTTCTGTTTGCCTATCAGACCTGACAGATGGTTGAGAGATGAGGCAGAACGCTTCTACCCGTTGCTGCTCCCGACTGTACCGTCCCTGAATACTTGCATTTCTCGGTGGGCAGGCAGTGTGAATCGCCATGTTTTAAGTGGGCGAGACATTTTCTTTCCTCTTAACAACATATTCATTACAAAGGATGGGTTCGTATCTCTCAAGTCCGGTCAAGGACAAGGAGTCGCATGATGGATCTGGCATTGGTGGGATCAAGTATGGCCTGTCTGCTATGCAGGGATGGCGGACAAATATGGAAGATGCGCACATTGCTTGCGGAAACGTAGGCAAACAAAATCCACTTGGTATATTTGGTGTTTTTGACGGACATGGAGGGAGGGAAGTAGCTCAATTCGTGTCAAAACATTTTCAAACTGAGTTTGAAGGGATCGTATCAAACCAACAAGGGAAAGTGGAACCAAGTCTCCCGATCGCCTTTCATCGAATGGACGCCATGCTGAGAGAACAGAAGTATGCTGCGGAGTTGATCTCGCTCTCTTCATCTCCTAAGTCGAGCCAACCTGATTCGCCCACCTCCACGTCAGCAGCCAGCACAGGGACAAGAAATCAGGACGCTCCTCGAATAGGCAATGCAAGTCAGGAAAGAGCTGTTGGGTTGGTACGTTCGTCCATCAATAGCAGCCTTGAAGATGCAAGGAAGAAAGGAAAGCTCACACAGAAAGAAGCCATGGAATTGATGGTCAAAATGATGGCTTTGCAGCGAATGGAAAAAAATGCTTTGGCCAGCTCACAAGCAGTTCAGCAAGGCACCGAGGGCTCGAACAAATTGAACGGTTGTTCAGAGGAAGCGACGTGTGCTGGATGTACAGCCAATGTCGTCGTCCTGACCGCAAAAGAGATTTTTGTAGCCAATGCAGGAGACTCGAGGAGTGTGTTGTGTCGCAAAGGCCAGGCTGTACCTCTGTCGGAAGACCACAAGCCAAACAATCCCAAAGAGAGATCTCGCATTACAAGTGCTGGAGGTTGGGTCTCGGAAGCCGCGAATGGGCATTTTCGGGTGAATGGAAACTTGAATCTTTCTCGGTCTATCGGAGATCTGAAGTATAAGAGTGACTCCAAACTTCCCCCATCCAAACAAGTCATCACTGCAGAGCCAGACGTAAGGAGAATTCCTCGCACAGAAGAAGACGAATTTATCATCACTGCATGTGATGGCGTGTGGGACTGCATGTCCAATCAGGTATATTACTTGTTGCATGTATTTGCTCGATTAATGTGAGGTACCAGCAACTCGTTGACTTTGTGAGGGCTCGACTAAAGTCGAATCAAGTCATTTCGAAAATTTGCGAAGATATCTTTGAAAAGTGCATCTCCGTGGTCTGTGACCTCCTTGTGTCCTCAGCAGTATGGAATTCTTTGACACCTTATGGCAGGATCCAAAGCAAACACAAGGCATCGGCGGTGACAACATGACGTGCATTATGTGAGTGCAATTCTTGTCTTTCCTGGTTTCTGAACTCCTGACAACAGCATCAAGCTGAAATAGCCCTTCTACACTATGTACTTTAACTACGCAAACTTGCTTTGAAAGCAGATTATCTTCTCTGTCGGACTTCTGGAACGGCTGTCATCAGTTTTTGTCTGTTTGGATTTTGTCGAGTACGATGGGGGATGAGCATTAGAATTTGTGCTTTCAGATGACTGATCGCACATGAACACCGCAATTATGGCATTAGGAAATACTCTTTTTCCTGTATTTCAATGTATCACAAGAGTATCTGTTACCGCAACTTCTTGTTAATAAACCTGCTCATATGGTTCAGAGATTCATCGTGATAGTGATATGGGCACTTTGGTTCTATTGTTCAACTTTCATTGCGATATTTCCTACATGATATAAAACGACCATCAGCACAACAAATATCATTACTAACGTAAAGTATTGCTTGGCTTCATCATACCAATTTCTGTGCAATGAGATCAAGAAATCATTTCATATGTCAAAAACTCAGCAACCTTCTCAAGTGATTGAAATCTCGCATTATGACGTTCTTCACGACGCTCGAGAAGTTGAGATTTCCCCTTGACCTGAATTTGCGAAACAGAGTAGCAAACTCTTCCTGAAGAATTGTCACGAAAGGAGTACGAGAGCAGGAGAGTCGCCTCGTCTATTTCTCCATTCCCATCAAGATCAGCTTCAAACATCACAGAATCCAACTGAAACATCCATGTTCAGTGAAATCAAAGTTGACAGATCATGAAACAATACTTGTTCATCTGTGATGCTTGAGATCCCAAATTTGATCATTGCATTCTTGAGGATTCAATAACAGAGATTTGCAAGAAGCATTGATTAGAACAACCCAAGATATAAATTCTCAGGCAAAACCTTGATTTCTGTCCTATCAAGAGCACCTGATCCATCGGTGTCGATCGCGCAGAACTGAGCATGTATCGATTGGCGCTCTTCTGGTGTGAGAGGTTGAATAGCGATCGTCCTGCGCTGTATCAGGGCAAGACTTTTTCCTGCTAGTGAAGATACTTTGAGAAACGAAAGTAGGAAGAAATAGACATAAGCATGAGAGTAGCAAATCCGACAAGTGCAGTATGCCAAAGGCTCCATGATGTGCCTGTAGAATAAAAATCGCTGAGGACCGTATCTTGTCGAACATGAGCACAAAAAGACCTGCAAATAGAAATTCTCCATCACCTCTCAGTGAGTCAATCGGTGCTGTGCTGTTATTCTCTGCCGTGCCATCCTTTGAGTAAGATTTTGCAGGGTGGGGAGGAGCAGCGACATGAACATCTCTTTTGTCTTCTTTTTCTGAATCGCGAACAACGTTGGAGTGTATCTCCTTCAAATCAGTCTTTCCGGTATCGGCTGATATCACCTCATAACGCGCAGAACATGAATCCTGCTTGAAGTTTGCCCCTCGGCCCGTACGCTCTAAATCACAAGAAATCTTCACGGGATTCATCTTCATGCCTATTGGGAGCGGAGGAAATTCACATGCCCAGTTTCCACATCCTTCACAATCTGTTACAGATGCTGATACACCTGAGCCATCACGTCGGCACGAGAGCGACGTGACCTCGACCTCAGAGCAAAACAAACCAATGCAATCCTGTTGATCGATCAGAACACATCGAACAGGAAAGGGGGAACAATGGAATTACCAACTGAAGAACGGGAGCAGAGGACACGGAGAAGTATCCCGCATGGAATGTGAGAGATGCTGGAAGACAATACGAGGTAGTGAACAACAAAAATAGATGAAGGTGCCTGAACCCCCTTTTATGTCCTGCAATCGCCAAGAGAACGAGAAATGCGTCCAAAATTCTCTTTGCTGGACTGAAGGAGCAAGATACTGCAGTCGAATAATGGCCAAATAGGTCTACGAAAGATTTCCCGACTATTCTTTTGCATGTCATGTGATTTTCCAAGATGCCAGAAAGCTGGGTATGAAAGAAACGTGGAATTCCTGGTCCGATGTTTCTTGATGTGCGTTGAATACGTTTGATTCGTTGCTGTTGCTGCTGCTGTTGCTGTTGCTGTTGCTGTTGCTGTTGCTGTTGCTGTTGCTGTTGCTGTTGCTGTTGCTGTTGCTGTTGCTGTTGCTGTTGCTGTTGCTGTTGCTGTCGCGCTTTGTTGATCTGGCTCTTATTCAAGTTCCTCTCTTCTGTTACTTTGAGTTCCTGCGCCTCCAAGCATGGTGACCCCAAATGGCGAAACCGCGCCAAAGAAAAATGTGAACACAGGGTGGCGGGATCGTCTAAAAGGTGGGGTAGTGCACTACCCAAGGGGTGGTTTTACCCCCATTTCTACTCTATCCTACAGGGGTAGGGAAGGTGGTGCTACCCTCCAACCAGAGTGAACGGGGGTGATACACAATCGCAAAGGTGGGGTAGAGTTGTCGATGAGGAGGAAAAGCCTACAGGGGTGATGAGCATTTTCAAATCAAAGTACGGGTCCTTCAGAATTGGACCATCATGTTCAAGGGTAGGGGTAGTGCTGTTGGGGTGTAGTCGATGAGAAAATAGGGGGTGGAGATTTCAGAAATGAGGTAGGGACACTACCCACCCCCTGAATATTCCAGTCCAATACTTATAAAAAGAGGGGTCATTTCAAGATGAGCTGGGGTGGTGTTCAGTGGAAGGTAGGGTCCTAGGCTTTATTGTTCTAGATAACAGGGTGGGTGGTTCAGAAACCGGGGAAAATGCAAATGCTGCAGAGAAATTTGAGTGAGATGGGTGGAGGGGGAGAGACAAGGGGAGGGGAGGCAAAGAGGAAGAAGCAAGAAGGCGACTCAAACAAAGACAGTAGAAGAGTGGAGACGGCAGACGGTAGACGGCAGACGGAGGCGATGGAGACGATGCAGGAATCAGTAAAGCACAGAGTGATGGGTTGACGGGATGTGCATGTCGAGCAGGAGAATAGCTTGGAAGTGCGCAATGGTTCATGACCAATACATGATAAAATACTGAAAGAATATGGGGAATTGTGAGCGCAGGTGGAGCAAGTTGGGAAAAAGGAAAGAGAAGAAAGATGTAGAGGAAGGACAACAACAGCAGAACATAACTGAAGGAGCCGAGGTAGAACAACGAAGATAGCCCTAGCAACGATGTGAAGTGTATGTTGGAACAAAATTGGGGAGCCTTGAGAATTGTCAAAGAGACTGCTGTATCCTCAGGGCAGTGGGCAGGAGCATTGCAAGGGATATTTCGATGTGAATGAGTGGCATTAGGGCTACAATCGTTTGTCAAGTGAAGCCAAAATGGAGTTAGGGGCAAATAAACAGATCTCTTATTGAGTGAGGGATGGAGAAGCATGTTTGATTGATGATAGCTCAATCACGCTTGGCTGATGATAGCTCCGGTAGACAAGTTGATCAGATTGCAGACTGCAAAACATCGTCATGTACGCTTATATTATACCCACCTCATCACAACAATCTTACAATGCATTTTTGCTTTCCCTCTATTCTGAAGTTTTATCCAGTCCATCAGAGCATGCTTTAAAAATCTCGCCCCTGGAATTTGCCTTGCTTTGTCCACGTCTCCAAGGCTGACCGATAATGTGATTCGATGCCGTGACAAAACGCCTCATCTTACCCCTGAGACAGGGTGGATTATGTTCTTTATGGCATCGTAGCAGCGGTTGTTGGCATCTTGACATTAGTAGGATGTGTAGTTTTCCTCATCCAGATGCAGGTGTTTGATTGATGAATGATTTTATCGAGTCCTGATCAGTGCTTTCAGCATCCGGACGATAGAAATTCTGCTTGGCTTCCAAAATTGATAGTTTTATTTGGTTTATTTCTGGCTTGCAGGTATGACCTATGGATGCATTTGTCTTGCCTTCTTGAATTGTTTTCCTCAGTGTTGTGTTGCTGCTGCCTTTCGATGCTTCCGTCTCGCAGGCTTGCGGAACAGACGCTCAGTGTCCAGCCTCCGGTAAGTTCTTCACTAGCTTGCGAATATTCAATGTGCATTGACAAGTTTTTGGTAGCTGGGTTGGCACAGACTTGGTACACAGTGCTAATCATGATTGCGGTGAGTGCTGGATGAGATTTTCGTTTCCTATTTTCTTCTGCTCTTGACTTCAGTTGTCAGATCATGACGTTCGTCTTCATTCCCCTTGCGTACTTCTGGTAAACCAAGATACTGTGCTTTTAAACCAAGATACTGATTGTGATGCGCAGGTACGAAACGGACGATGAAGAGCCGATGGGAACAAGTAAGCCGTTGCGATCCTGTGCCTTGATGTGAGTCCACCTTCAGGGATCTGCACTACCGTCTGCTGGTCAACTGTAAACTTGTTTGTATTCGTAAGCATCTTGCTCGGGATGTACTTTAGCGTGGGGTAAGATTTGACTTCTTTTTCTCATCGTCGACTGATTACGTCCAGATATGTTGAGTTGCCTGTGCTGGTAATGCAACCTTATTCGAAGGTACGAGAAGGATGGATTAAGCATATCTTGTTGACAAGATTTTCATACAGACCAACACGACGTATCTGTATACTCCCTCATCACAACGGCCTGCTTGGAGTGCTGTACAGTACGTTCTTATGTTGTCTTTTTGCCGTTGAACCTATGATGCAGGTCCATCACTGTGTACTCTGCCATTCAAACGATTCAGACATCGCTGGTTATTTACGTTTTGGCGCTCCTGAGCTTCATTGGCTGGATGCTCATGACGTGTGTTGATCGTTCAAACATGCAGAGCACGAGTTCTGAGATATGTCAACAGCGTTTTTGGAGGAATTGGGCTGGTTGCGCTTCCGATAGATTTGATCGGCGATTGGTACAATCGGTATTCCATGTCATGCTCGCGTTGTCGACTCCTTACACATCTTTGAAGGCCCAGACCCATTGACCTGAAACAGTTTGCGGAAAAAAAGCTTCAGTTGAAGAAACGGTGTGAAGAATTGATTCAGGTTGGTGTTTTTATGCGTCGTTACTGAACAGGTTAACTGACTTCATGGATGCAGGTTGGAAAGGAGACGAGAGATAAGTTCAGAGGCAGGCCAAACAGATTTAAGGTAAAAAATCTTCTTTTTGGCAATACTATTCGTGAAGGGCTTTGAAGGAACGCCGTTTCACAAACAAATATAAGAAAATGATTCTGGATCTCGAAGATGAACTTCAGGTCCAACTCTTTCTGTTTGATGCAGATATTGAATGCATAGAAGGTGTTAAACATCTGCTACAAACGAAACCAGATCAATCCCTTGATTCCTTGGTTACAATTGTTTGGCGGTAGTGCCATCTAAACTATGTGATTGAGTTTGACCGTCTTACCCTTCAAGGACTTGGAGCTGCTGTCATCACGGTTTCTTGGTGGTTTCAAATCATTTTTGAGATCTTCTTGAAGGTATGTAAATGTTTGAATCACTGTCTCGTTGTATCCATTGAAGTTGTATTCAGGGGCTCGCTGGCCCGTACTTGAGCAATGTTTTCTTGAAGGTCAGTGGTCCCGTGCATCATTATTTCTGCATCCAGGTTGATTCTTTTGTCTTGCGAACAGTTGTCCGATGCTTTTCCTTTATTTGGCATCGTTGCATACGGGGTACGAGCTCGCAATCTTTGGATTGGAATCTTGACCTGCTTCATAGGTGTTCGCTTTCTACATTCTTATCTGTTGTGTCAAGGTGAAGTACCCTTGCTTGGTTGAGCTTTGCTTCCTTCTCTACCTCACGTGATGCTCTAGGGTTCAATCAAGTTTGCTGGGCGATTTTTCCTGATATCTGTAAGATTGGAGGTGAAGGAACCAGTCTGTTAACGGAGAGGCAGGTTCACCCTCTCCGACTGAACGGCACCATGATGAACTCATTCTTGTTCAATGTCGGCCTCATCCTCATCTGCTCCGTGTCGTGCACACAGGTGGATGTTGGATGTGACCAAGACTTTGCTGATATCACAGCAGCTGTGCACCACAGCCTTCAAGGGGTATGTCTACAACTCCTCCATTTCCCAGCTCTTTGTCAGTCAGATCCAGTATCTCAAGGTACTTGGGCGGCTCTGAGTAACACAGAGTGATTGTTGTCGCTACAGATCCTCTCTTACTTCTACTCCGTCCAAGTCCCTGTGTTCTACTCTTTGATGTTCGCAGTCTCGTTCTTGCAGCTCTTCTTGAGCATCTTTAGCATCTGCTTCTGCGCAAAGAAGCAGGTCGAGACCAATGCTGTTTGATTGTTCTCTGAATGTTTTTCAGGCGGAAACCGTGCAAGACGCCATGAACGCACTTCGTCAGGAACGAGCGTAGAACAGACATGCTTCTTCCAACCACCGAAGTTCTTAAGACATGTTTTAACATAATGGCTATGAAAGTTGTTCATTACGAGTGCAACTATGAGTTCGGAGAACAAGAAGTAAAGCTTGTGCTTGTAAAGCAATTCAACAACACCCAATCTTGCCCCCACATGAGCACAACCCAGCCACTATCATCGAGCTCACAGTCTAACCAGAAACAACCTAGTGAAACTTGTGGACCTTGTGCTCCATCTCCACGATGTGCCTGAAAGTTTCGTCTTGGTTAGTGATTTGGTGTACAGACCCGCTGAAAGAGGTCACCCAAGAGATCCGAACACAGCGTTGGTGCCAATGCCAGCGCCTTGCGGTACTCCAGCCTCTGCTCGCTCAACGATGGATGCCTGCACATCTTCAGTGCACCTCCTCCTCCTCCTCCTCCTCCTCCTCCTCCTCCATTCACCGTTCTCTTGTAGGAAGGAGCAAGATAGGACATGCCAGTGCCTGCACGAGTCAGAACCGATCGGCCTGCACTCTCAGAAGGTGGTTTACCGCAAGGAGCCTGGTCGCAAGGAGCGGCCTAAAGGCAAGTTAGTTGAAGTTAACTGAGACCTTGTTTACCTTCACTTTCTTGTGAAACAGCATAGAGAAAACTGGTGTGTCAGACTGGGGAAGTAAAGCTTAGCACTGCTGGTGACAAAGCAAAATCGCATTGCACTATCACTAATACCACTTCACTCATCATCAGGATCATTATTTCGATGACCATCACATGATCATTTGCCTATCGCATTGTCTTCTTCACCGTCGTCATCATTATCAGTGCAATCACCATCATGGTATTCATGGCAATCATAAACTTTCATGATTCAGACTCGTCGCATCATGTTTGTCTCTCTCTATTCCTCCAACCTCATAAATCAAAACTCACCAACATGGCGGCTCTTCAAAAGATGACTAAAATTAATTACTAGTTATTGTCGTATAAACGTTTAGTTACCACTCTATGAGTAGAAAATCATTTTTTGTTTAAAATTCATTCACTAGAAAGTTCAGTAGAATTTTCAGTCAAATATAGTGCGTCAATCCACAACAGCGAGCTCGGCTATCTCTGCGCTTGTTCCGTCCACAGCGACGCCGACGGCGCCATGCGCTCGCGACTTCTTCCTCATGCCCTGCAGATCGTGAGAGGTTTGTATCAAGACGAGTTCATGGATAGCCGAAGCCGTGTGATCAGATGAGAGCTGGAGGGTGATGTTGTAGAGGGAAACAAGAGGGAGATGTATATCTAGTGGAAACTCGAGAAACGAACATCGCAAACGTGGATGTGGAAAGAAGGGAGCGAGGACACAAGAAAGCACAAGGCAGCAATAGAAGGAGACATGAAGGCCAGTTTGACAGTGGACGAGGAAGATGAGTCGTCAGGAAGAACATCAGGCAAAGGAGCACGCAGCTTATTGTGTTTCTGGGAGCAAGAGATAGATGGATGAGGCAGACCTTCTCAAGTAGCTTTGAGTCATATATCTTTGAGGAAGTATACCAGCCTTCGATCTAGCAAAGAATAAGAACAGTCAGGAAGACAGCATAACAACACAATCGGTGCAGGTCGTTGTTCCAAACTTACCACAAAGTGTTTGGTCGATGAAAACGACTCAGCATCACTCACTTCAACCTTAGTGGAGAGTCTCTGTGATTGAAAAGCATTAACAGCTCTCAATAACTTCAGGAAAAAGAACCTGCACAGCAGCAGCTGGACCTGCGGCAAACAGGTAAAGCTTGTTGAACGAAGCTTTGTTAACGTAGAGCGGGGCATTCCACAAGTATTCTCCTCCCCAAGATGGGTTCCAATCCTTGCAAAGTTCAATCCTAAATCCAATTCTCTTCCTGTAGGACTGCAGCAAACATGTCAGCAGGCCCTAAACCCTAACAGGTTCATCTTTGGAATATTCCAGGACCTTCTGCTTCTCATCGCGATGATTGTCTGCTGTTGATCGCATGCGCTCGTGATCGCCAGGTCGCCGATACACAACATCAAAGAGCAGAGGACCATCAAGATTCACCCCAGAAACCTTGCCCAGCACATTCCTGGACCCAGTCAATTCTGATCAATTGATGGCTAACTCAATTACCGTATCTCGGTTGAGTCGAAAAACCTTTTGATTTCTTTGATTCCGGGGGAATAATGTTGCACAAGCAAGTTGCTGTTACGGTATTGCTTGTACGCAGCCTTCATCATGTCAAGACCAAACCAGGATCTGAATATCCCACCTTCTCCTGTTGTACAGCAAAGAATTCTGCAGAGAGGCCAGACAGATCTTGAAAAATGCGATCTAGGCTTGAATGCTCAATGATGGGAGGAGTATGGCAATATCAACGAGGTGCCTGCAATCGTGGTTTGAAGAGCATTGGTGACTACAGCCAGTCCGCCATCTTTGATCGCGCTCAAGATTTCACTCCATGCCTTAGTGGACAGGGACCACTTGTTCAATCCTCTCTGCAGTAAAAGACATCATTGTTAGCCGTTTTACATGTCAGGTAGACCTCTTGCAAAGTTTCACACGTCTTTTTCTCTTTGCCATGGCAAACAGCTGAGAATTTGTCCATCCGTCCGACGAATGTTTCTTCCTCCTCATCTTCTTCAGTGATTATGTACGAGCCCTGGTCTTCCTGAAGAAAGCCGATGAGTTCAAATATTGAAAAGTACATGCGAAGATATGTTCTACATCCTCCTCTCCTTCTTGATCCCTAATAAACCAAACATCATTACAAAGGTTTCAAGCATGGAATGTACATTGCCTGTAGTCGACTTCTTCCTGCAGTCCAGAGCCGACACAGGAGTTGGTGATCACAATACATCAGATACACTCCGAACAAAAGCATGAAGAGAGTAGTGCTTACATTATCCTGTTTGACGTAATTCGTGTTAAACTGCTGCAAATTGGCCTTTTTCTTGGTATCAGATTCAACTTGATCTTCTTTGTCATCGTCATCGTCATCGTCATCGTCATCGTCGTATCCTTCTATTCCGTCATCTTCTTCCGAGCTGCTCTACAACATCATGTATTGATATATCAGCATCATTGCAAGAACCTGGAAGCTTGAACATCATCATCCATGTCATATCCTTGGGGAAACCTACCGCAGCAACAGTCGGCATTGACGTCACAAGAATCCATTTCTTCACCTCAATTGCATGCTGTTTCGAGCTGCCTTGAGGTTGGAGTTTGCAGCGTCGTCTGCAGGAGCAACAGCAATGACCTCCAGTGATAGAGCTTCGGCTTCGCGATACATCTTCATGAAGACAGCTGTTGAACAATGGTCATTCACTGCACTGCCTCAAGTGAATCTCTCACCGGGATCAGCCTGTCGATTTGCCACATCGAGGAGCAGGGCAGCCAAGTTTGTTTTTCTCTCAATCTTCAATGCTTCATTGAAAGACTTCTTTGAATCTTCGTACGCTTCTCGAAACACCTTGAGAACCTCCAGCGTAGCTTCTCCCTGGAAACCATCAGCATAAACGAGCTGGCATGCACTGTGCTCACATTCTGCGCCCGCTGTAGTGCCTCAGGATACGACATTCCTTGTGAGGTGCTTGATAACATTCTTGTCAACACATAAAGAGCCTTTGAGTTTTGCGAACCTTATGAACGAAAAGGCCAGCATCACCATCATGATTTGCAAAGTTGACATCGTAAGTCCTTCGAAAGGAAAAGGTCAAAATAAAAAGATGTTGGAAAGGAATCTTCGCCCTCTAACTGGAAATTTCAACAAATGCCAAACATTGTAATCTCCTGCTCCTCACGTGCTATTGCCTCATGCTTATCGTGTGATTAGCCATCTCCTCACTGCTGATGGGTTTACGGGTTTAGGGTTTTGGGTTTAGAGGGTGCGACGGGCCCGGTGGACACGGAAGCAACCAGGCCTAACTGAGCCGGGGCCTATAGGACAATGGGCCAAACTCCCAAGGTTGGGAACCCCCTTTAGACGGATCATTAGGCGAGAGATGAGCGAAGAGCAATAGGGGGCTTATGGGCGCCACAGGATTAGCTCCTGGTACAAATGTTTTAGTCAAAGGGGGAGCTAATATGAAGCTTGCTCAGCCTGTTTATTCAAATTTGCTTTGTACATAAACAGATCAAAACTTGATATTCATACTGTGAGACGAGGAACATGATCTACCACACTACAAGCTTTCAAGGTTGTTGACTGCGCGGGAAGAGAGGGAGGATGGAAGGCAGGGGCGAGCCGCGAGTCACGGTCTGATCAGCCCATAAGCCCGTTAGCCTGAGGCATGCTGCTCTGCGGCGCGTAGGCCCCCGGAGAGCGCAAGGGGACCGGAGGGAGCTGCGAGCAAGAGGTTTGTATAGTTCAAACACTTTCCAGCCTTTCCAGCGCTCCTTCCAATTCGTAGGGAATATCTTCCATCAGGCGTCGAGCCTCTTCCTTGGTCGCCAGGGAGATAGCTATCTGGCTCCCGTCCCCACTCAGCGTGTCTCGGTCTTCTTCAACCTCCACGCTCGCCAACTTGATGCCTATCCTTCAAGTTGCTAGCTCCAACGCTGCTCGCTTGATTTTTGTTGTTGAAGTGTTTCCATCTCCTTCCTTGAGAAGCGGCCTGTGCTCATGCTTGACGTCGACTTGATCAGCACTCTGAAGCAGCCTGGCAGCCGCGTTGCCCTGCGGGTCGCTCCATCAGAAGCAATGGAGGCTTTTGCAAACATTCCACGAGATGTCTGTCTGAGCTACAGAGACGCAACTTGGGACCCAGTCAGCCTCAAGCTCTCCTTAACTTCCTGCTGGTCGAGCTTGGAACGAGCGATGCAGAGAGGCGTGTTTGACCCATCAAGGTTCGATCCTGAGGAATATCTGGTGAGTTTTCGTACTTGAGCTTGAGATTGCAAACGTGATATTGCATGTTCTCATTTAAACTTCTTGTCCTTGTTCTTGTCCATCCTCTGGTATTTCTCTTTTCCTTTTTCTTTGCATCTGATGCATTGCAATTTGCACTGAAAATCTCGTTTCAGCATTATGATAATCATGGTAATGGAAATCTGAACAAGGTTGTCGAAGGGAAGTTTGTTGCTTTCAAGAGCCCGAGAGAGAAGGTTTGAGGACAAACTTTCCTGAAAGGAACACAGAGAGCAATGAATCCTGATGGAATTGTGTCGCACACTCCAGCTGACTACATCAATGTTCTGAAGTCCATGAACGTTGAGTATATCATCCGCTTGAATGGATACAGGCAGTTTTTTGATTGCAACTTCAAGATTTTGCCAGGGAAAAATCGCACTCGATGACAATGTTTTCTGTTTCTGCAGTTACGATCCAAGAGATTTTTTGAATGCTGATAGTCGTTAGACTATTGTTACCATCATCGTGGTCTGAACATGTTTGCCAGGTTTTCGACATCACGATATCTACTGCAACGCTCGGGCAACGCCGTCCGATGCTACGGTAGACAGGTAGAACACTAACGACTTGATGAAAAAGGAGAAGGATGGAATGATTGCGAGTTTGCAGATTCTTGACCATCTCTGAATCATCTTCATCAGTCGCTGCTGTTCATTGCTCTGCCGGCCTTTGGCGTGTAAAGGCAGAGTACCCGCGATTTATCAGAAGGAAAGAGGAGGAAGGGAGCGAGGAAGCGAGGGAGCGAGCGAGTGAGCGAGGAGAAGGAGCGAGGAGAGGGAGCGAGGGAGCGAGGGAGCGAGGGAGCGAGGGAGCGAGGGAGCGAGGGAGCGATCGGAGGGAGCCAGGGAGGGAGCGAAGGGGGCAAGAGAGCGAGTGAGCGAAGGGAGCGAAGGGAGCGAGGGGAGCGAG